GGGGGTTCACAATCACGGAGGACTCGACTGTGCGAGTATAATGTACCGCGAGTACGGGACCAGCTCTGTATCGATACATACCGGCGAGCAAATACAACACCGGCGAGTAATACGATAGCAGCGAGTACAGAACCAACCTGAACAGACGAGAGAATCAGAACTATCATTGCCAGCCTCGACAAACTCCCCTGTACGTGTAGACTAGGTCCCGCTCTCAACGAGTAATACATACACACACACACACACACACACACACACACATATCATATATATATATATATATGTACTCAGAGTAAGCATTTCCATACATTACGTCGTAACACTCCGTACCTACAGCACTAGTCTAGTGAACTTTTTTTTTTCCCCTCTTTCTTTCGGTCTATTCCATTTCTTTTATTCATGTCTTGGTTTTTTTTTTTAATCTTTAAATTTTTTAAAAATTTTTTTTTTTTTTGGGGGGGGGGGGGGGGGGAAGAGGGGGAAGGAGGGGGTTCATGCTTATTAAGACATAGGAAAGATATCGGATAGACCAGATATATTACATGCTACATCTATCTACGTGTATCAGTTATATATATATGTTATATATAATATATATATATATCTATCTCGTACATGTATACTCGTACTCCGCACATGTGTACAATTCCATCTTTGTCATCATCCCGAAACGCCCCGTAAAGACCGCAAGGAATACCCAAAACAAGAGGGCTCAGAAATGAGTTCTTCCACCCTCTCTCTCTCTGTACTTCCAGACACCCCCCCCCCCCCTCCTTCTTCTTTCTTTCTCTCACGGAATGTGTACTACATGTTGCTTTCTCTCTCTCCCTCTCTCTTCCCCTCTTTCTTAGATACACACCCCCCCTGTTATGAGGGGGACCACTTTCATTACAAGACAAAAAAAAAAGAGGGAGAGAAGACCCCAATTGAATCCAACTCTCTCGGCCACAACTTACTCGTGGGGGTTTTTTTTATTTTTAATATTAACATCAATATTTTTTTTTAAGAAGAAATTAAATATTATTTTCCCTCTCAACTTCCAAGGCCATCTCTTGTACGCTTGCGGAGGTCTTTACCGAGGATTGATCTGGGCGGCCCCCGGGGAAGGGGGGGCTCTGGCTATGTCAAAGACGCCCAGACACCTTGCAGACTCGAGTCATATCCAACACACGCACATGACACATGAGAGAGAGCATCAAGGCAAAACGGGAGGAGATGGAGATGACGATGACGCGCAGAAACAAAAAGAGAGAGGGGAAAATCGTCACACGCAAGATGATGGAGATTTTTTTTTTTTTTTGGGCGGGGGGAGAGAGAGAGATGGGAGGAAGAGAAATCGGTCAGACAGAACTGAAAAGGAAAGGAAGAAGAGATGATGAAAAAGAAGAGGGAAAAAAAAGCCCACTCTGCCGGAATCTACACACAAAACACACACGTCGGGTTTATGATTATGATTATCGGGGGGAGGGGGGTTTGGGGTTGGGGTTGGGTTTGTCCGCACCGCCGGCTACCGCTCGACATCATGATCCCGAAACCGACGACTCTCTCTCCCCCCCCCCCCCTTCACCCTTTACTCTCGGTACCCTACCCTATAATACCAATCACATATTATCCGCCTCTGGTTTTGGTCTGTAGGATTGACATGGGATGGCGCTGACGGTCGAGTCACAACTTCACGTATAGTCAGTCTGTCCGTGTATGACTGTGCACACCCATTTCGGTGTCGAATCTCGGTCTTTTTTTTTCTTTTTTTTTTCCCCCTCTCTTTTTTCGTTCTTCTGATTCCAGTTACCACTTTCTGTACTCGCTGTACAATATATATTATACGACCTGACGTAAACGGTGTAACTTCATATCGATGCTCGCAGTCTGGATGATAGACTCTGACCCCCCATAGTAGAAGGTTTCCAATATAATCCCCCCCCCCACCAAAAAAAAAAAAACACCATTATTGAATCCTCTTCTCTCGCTCTCTCCCTCTCTCCCTCCCGCTGTACTTCTGTACGGATATATCGTACGAGCAGACGGTTGAATAGACGGTACGGTGCAAGGTGGAGGGTCAAGGCTGGAACAGAATAACATAGAACCCATCCTTTGTAGGTTCCCCCGAGATAGACTCTCCAACTCTACATCATGCACGTCAATGGCGTTGAACTTTTTTTTTTTTTTTTTTCCTTCTCCGTGATTTTGTATGTATAACCAACATCCCCCCCCCCCCATCTTCATCCATCCCATCTCCCCCGTTGCTCCAACCTTCAACTCACCTTTTCTTGAGAGAAGCTACTCCCTCAACTCGTCGAGACCTATCCCGTACCCATCACCACCTACTTAACCTACATGCACAATGATAACTCTTTCTCCGTCCAAAATCAAATGGGCTATATATCAGGTCGTGTCATGGGAACGTCATCGTCTTTCTTTTTCCTCTTCCTTTTGTTTTTCTATTCTCCTTCACTTCTTCTTTGCAATACATCTTACACAATACATCATCAGTCCGGTCAACATCACAGCCATCATCGAGAACCCAGTCGAAGAAACTCGACGTATTTTTTCTTCCTCAGAATTTCGTATTTGTAGACATTCTATGACATACCAGATAATTCAAGTCCGGAGACGACAAAGCAACAGAGAAGAGAGTAACAGAAAAGCAAAAACACTAAAAAGCAAAAAGAGCAAAAGGCACTATCTGACGTACAATAATCTCCTTTTTCTTGTGTCGTCTTCAAGGTGAAGACCGTGAAGAAAGGGGGGGGAGGATTCTAAGTCAGTGAAGTATAATGTTCCTTTCCCTTTCCTCTACCAAACGCCAAAATATGATGGTGGAAACAAAAATTACCAGAGTCAGACTGAGATGAGAGAAAAGAAGGAGATGAGAACCAGAGTGATGAAAGGCTGCAGTGAAAGAAGTATTCTCCTCTGTTTCTCTCTCTCTCTCTCTCTCCCTCCCTCTCCTCTCTCTTGCCAGGAGGGAAGCACATCCACAGACAGCAGCAGCGGAGGCACTTGACCTTCCCGCTTCACCATCTGCGGTTACCCATGGGCATGTTGTTGGCATTGTTGCCTCCTGAAATCAGGGGAAGAGAATGAAGCCGGTCAGCTCACCATTGTCGTCTTCTTTTTGTGTGTGTGTGTGTGTGTGTGCTCTTCGCTGTCTCAGTGTCGGCGGTACCCACCTCGGCCACCACCACGGCCACGACCGTAACCGCCGTAACCACGACCGCCGCCACCGCCGAAGCGAACCATCTCGGCGAGACGGGGGTCGATCTGCTGCTTGGCTTCCTGCAGGACATTCACAAGGTCGCGAGCCTGCTTCTGGTCTGTATGAAGGGAGGAAGGGGGGGGGGGGAAGGTTTGTCAGCGTCAAGACTCTTCTCTGAGGAGATCATCGGAAGCAGAGTCCTCGAGGAAGAAGGGAAGAGGAGAGACTCACTATCAGTGGTGAAGAAGGTTATGGCCGTACCCTTGGCACCGGCACGGCCGGTACGACCGATACGGTGGATGTAGTCCTCCGAGTTGTTAGGGTAGTCGTAGTTGAGCACATGGGTGATGTTGCGCACGTCTTTACGAAGAAGAACACAAGAGGTTAGCAGGCGGAAAGAGGGGACGGATATATATAGCAGCAGCAATTTCCAAAGCGTGGAAAGACCCATCATGGGGAACCCTCTCGGTCGAGGAGGTACCACATATAGATGAGGCCAAAGCCAGAGTGCTTTCGTCTCTTCTTCACTCCAGAGCATAGCTCGGGGCAATCCAAGTGCGCGTTTCAAAATGCCGATCCTGAGACGGATCTAGATCTGTTGTGTCATTTCACAAACGGGGTCCTCGGGAACTACGGAGCCTTGGGCCGGCAGCTTTTGATCCATTGCAGAGAAAAGAGGTCAAGAAGATGCCGCCTCCACCGCTCGTACCTTTGGCAGATAAGACAAAGTGGTACGGTACAAGCAGCTGTGTGGAAAATACGAGAGTATAGCAGTCCAAGAGCTACACCCAACGAGTTCAAGGCTCCAGTCGGAGTATCGGAGAACCACAAGAGTGGACACGCCAGAAGTTCAGGCAACTTCGCGCAGTAGAGAGAGCCCCTAAAAGACACACACAGAGAGTAAAGGTATACCAGCGTTTTTTCTTTCTTTCTTTCTTTCTTTTCTTTTTTTTTTCTTTTTTTTTCTTTTTTTTTTTCGCTGAAGACGTTGCCACGCAGAGAAGAAAAAGGGGAGGGGAGAGTGGGAGGGAGGAGGTAGAGGGGACGGTTTGATACATACCGATACCACGAGAAGCGACGTCAGTCGCAACCATGACCGGGCTCTTTCCAGCCTTGAACTGGTCGAGGACCCAGTCACGCTCGTTCTGCTGCTTGTCGCCGTGGATCGACAGAGCGGGCCAGCCGTCCTGGCGGAGGAAGCGGGTGATGTCGTCGGCGACACGCTTGGTGCCGACAAAGATGAGGATCTTGTTCTCGCGGTCCTCCATGATCTTCTCCAGGTGCTTGATCATGCGGTCACGCTTCTCCATCTCGCTGACAACCTCGACGATCTGGGTGATCCTGTGGTTGGCCGCGAGGTCGAGGGAGCCGATGTTGACCTGGATGAAGTCGTGGAGGAAGTCGCTGGCCATGGCGCGGACCTCCTTGGGCCAGGTAGCCGACCACATCAGCGTCTGACGGTCGGGGCGGATCTGGCCAATGATCTTGCGGATCTGGGGCTCGAAACCCATGTCCAGCATGCGGTCAGCCTCGTCGAGGACGAGGTAGGTGACGCGGCGCAGGTTGGTCTTGCCAGCCTCGAGCATGTCAATCAGACGACCGGGAGTGGCGATGCAGACCTCGACACCACGCGAGAGGTCGCGGATCTGGGGGCCCTTGGGGACACCGCCGTACACGCACGTGTTGCGGATGCGCGACGAGCGGCCAAACTTGGTGATCTCCTGCTGGATCTGCACGGCCAGCTCACGGGTGGGAGCGAGCACGAGGACGATGGGTCCGTCGCCGGGAGCCAGCAGAGGCTGGGCGTTGATGTGGACGATGGCGGGGAGACAGTACGTCAGGGTCTTTCCGGAGCCGGTCTCGGCAATGCCGACCACGTCGCGACCGGAGAGGGCCATGGGCCAACCCTGAGACTGGATGGCCGTGGGGGCGGGGAAGCCCTGGGCCTTGACCTCGTCCATGACATAGCGAGGGAACGAAGCCTCGTCAAAGGTCTCGACGGGCTTGGGCACATTGTTACCGGTGACGGCCATCTGGTGCTTTCGGCGGAACTCGTCCACCTCAGCCTGGGAGCGCTGCTCGACCTCGGGCGTCTCCTTGTAGAAGGACTTTTCGAACTTGGGTAGTGTAGAGAAGTCTGCGTCGAGTCATGGTTAGCATATGGGGATACGAAGAAGGTCATCCCTGACTTCTGGAGGAAAGGTCGGTCAACAACTTACCCCATTCCTGCTGCTTGAGACCGGCACCGAGACCGCTCATGCGGTCACCGCCGCCTCCGAAACCACCACCACCACCTCCGAAGCCACCACCACCGCCGTAGCCACCGCCGCCGCCGTAGCCACCGCCGCCGCCGTAGCCACCACCGCGACTGTAGACGTGTTAGCCTAGTCTTCTTCTTCTTCTTCTTGTTCTTGTTATTGTTTAGGGAGAGCCGGGAGCGATGATCGATGGTCGATGCCCTCTAAACAGCGAGGCAACCCATCACTAGCCGTGAATCTCCCGTAGGAGAAGAGAAGAGAACTTACCCTCCGCCGAAACCACCACCGCCGCCGCCGTAGCCGCCACCACCGTTGCGGTCACCGCGGTCGCGTCCGTAGCCGCCGCCGCCGCCGCCGCCCCTGCGATCACCGTATCCAGACATGTTTTCTTCTGAAAGAGAGTGCTTTCTTGTCTTGTTTTGATGAGATGCGTCAGGGAAGAGTGAGAGAGGATCCCTAGCAGAGGCAATCAGGAACCTATGATGACGAGGGGGGAAGAAAGGAATGTAGTCCGAGGGGAGAGTAAACGGACGTGAGAATGTGTGTTCGGGGGAAGAGAGGATGTTTGTGGAAAAGAAAAGAAGAAGTGAAGAAGAAAGAAAAAAAGAAAAAAAGGTCTGGCGCGAATCCGAAGGGACCCCTTCTGTCCCAATTTTTTTTTTCGCCGCTAAAGGGGGGGGGGGGGGGGGGGGGGAAGTATTGGGGAAAAAAAGAGAGAGAAATATACGCTAACCTAAAGAGGTAAAATCTGGACCAATCCAGACCAATAACAATGGTGATTAGGTAAGACAGTCAGAAGAGGCGAGAAAAAGAATTTTCTTCGAGAATTTCTTTCAACATGCATGGGCATATATTTGGTACGTTTTGCTAAGGGAAGATGCTGATGTATCTAAATTGGAAAGACGAATCTAGAAAGACGTTTGTATGTATAATCTGTAAAACATACAATCGTACAGGTAATGGTCAGCACTCCGTACGGATGGAATTGTCTGTTGTCGGTGTGAGAGCAAGATGGATGCCGCAGCTCTGATAATTAAACCGTGCACGAGCCATTCATGGTAGCAGCCCAAGTGATATCAGAAGAAAGCACACGAGGCAGGGACGGTCGACACAAATCAAGTAAGAAGAGGCAAAGAGACGGATCAGAATAGATAATAGAACAGAAAAAAAGAAAAAAAAAAAAGTACGAAAGTTATTATCCCTGGGCAGAAAGCCTCTCCACGACATTTGATCCTACAGCTCCGCCTCTTTCTCCTGCCATCAACAACAACAATACAAGAGTCTATCAATCGAACGTCATCCCAAACATGTTGCTCCCCTTCTATTCTATCCCAGTTCCTTTTTTTCGTGGTTGTCTAGATTCCCTCTCCAATGGTAGTCACTTTTCTTGATCCGAATAGATGTTCCACTAGATATGAGCAGCAACCCTTTTCAATCCGGACATCATCTCCTCGATCTGAGCATTGGAGAGAGAGGCAAAAAAAAGAAAGTATAATAAAAAACAAAACGATGAGAAAAAAAATTCTTGTGTCACAATATCGGGGACTTTTTTTTTTTTTTATTCGCGGGAAACGTCGCGGCCGAAGGTCTTGGACTTGAGCCAGTCGAGAATGACGAGGATACGGTTGCGAGCTGTTTTTTTTTTCCATGTTAGTATATCGACCGCATGAAAGGGGAGAGGGGATGGGAGGGCTAAAGAGAAAAAGAGGGGGGTTGAAGAAGAAGGAACTCGGAAGAGAGAGAGGGAGAGGGAGAGGGAGAGGGAGAGGGAGAGAGGAGAACTTACTGCTAAAGCACATGGAGAGGTAGGCACTGCGCCAGAAGAGGTAGGTCATGCTGCCGCCGGTGGCGACGTTGCTGTTCCACCAGATGACGTCGGCGACGGCCTTGTCGCTGCCAATGTAGGCCAGGGAACCCTGGTGGGTGTAGCGGAAGGGCTTGACGTCCCGGATCTTGGAGAGCTGGCGCTCGAGGCTCTCGATCTCGCGCGCGGCCTCGGGGGCGGGGGTGCCCTTGGGCCCCTGGAGGTTGAGGCTGGCGCTGAGCTCCGCGATGCGGGCCTCGTGGGCCTCGGTGCGGGCCATGTTGTTGAAGAGGCGGGCGAGGAAGTTGCCCTCCTGGGAGGCGACCTGGGCGGTGGGGGCGTAGCCGGCGACGGCGCAGTCGCCGACGGCCCAGATGTCGCGGGCGCCCTGGACGACGAGGTACTCGTTGACGGCCAGGCCGCGGCGCGAGTCCTTCTGGGCCGGGATGCGGGCCATCAGGTCCTGGACGACGGGCCGGACGGCGTTTCCGGTAGCCCAGACGAGGAGGCCGTAGGGGATGCGGATGCGCTCCTTGGTGCCGTCGGGCTTGCTGATCTCGGCCTCGACGGCCTCGGCCGTCACGTTCTTGACCATGGTCTTGAGCTTGATGTCGATCTTCTCCTCGCGCAGCGTGTTCTCCGTGTACTCGATCAGCTGCTTGGAGAAGGACGGCAGCACGTTGGGCAGGGCCTCGATCAGCGTCACCTTGAAGCGGCCGCTGATCTCGGGCACCAGCTTCTTGATGTCCTCCTCGAAGAAGTCCTGGGCCTCGCCGGCGAACTCGACGCCGGTGGGGCCGCCGCCCACCACCACCATGTGCATCAGCCGGTCGATCTCGTCCTCGGTCTGGTCCTTGAAGGCCGCCGTCTCGACGCAGTCCATGAACTTCTTGCGGATCCGCTGCGCGTCGCCAATCTCCTTGAGGAAGCAGCTGTTCTCGCGCACGCCGGGGATGCCGAACGTCGCGTTCTCCGCACCCACGCCCACCACCAGCATGTCGTACGGTATCTCCGTCTCCGCCACCGTGCCCTTGACCTCGGAGTTGTCAGACACCCTGACCACCTTGCGCTCCGGGTCGATGGACGACGCCTCGGCCTCGTAGTACTGCACCGCGCCGCGCCTCTGCCGCAGGATCGTGCGGATCGGCTCCATGATGGAACGGTGCTCCACCGTGCCCACCGTGCAGGACGGGAGCAGCGGCGTGAAGAGGAAGTAGTTGCGCGGCGACACGACGATGACGTTGTACTTTTCCGTGTCGAGCTTCTTGAGAAGGGCCACGGAGCCCCAACCGGTGCCTGCAATCGACGCAGCGTCAGCAATCTGCCTCTCCTCCCCCTCTCCTCTCCCCTTCTCCTTCTCTCGTCTTCTTCTTCTTCTCTTTCTTCTTCTTTTTCTTTTTTTGAAAGACAGAGAACCCACGCGGAATCGGAGATTGTATTACGTACCCAGGATGACGAGCGTCTTCTTGGTAGGGTCGCGCGGCAGCTGAGGAGCCGGGTTGTGGTCGAGGTAGATGACGTAGCCGGTGTAGCCGACGAGACCGAGGGCAGACAGGTACGTCAGGCGCCAGATCCATCGGAGCGTGCGGCGGACCTTGCCAGCCTGCTTCTTGGGGGCGGCCGTGGGCTTGGGGGCCTCGTCGGCGTAGGACCTGCGGAAGGCGATGCGGCCGGTGCTGGGGAGCTTGAGGACGGTCGACGGCCTGGCAGCAGCACGGAAACTGTCGGCCTTGCCCTTCCCCAGCGTCGACAGGGCACGCGACGACGACGTGGCAGAGCGAGCGGCAGCACCGCCGCCGGGAACCACGACGTGAAACTTGGCCAGAGGCATCTTGGCCATGGCACGGGTAGAAGAGGCCATTTCGTTCTTCTTCTTCTCCTTTCTTTCTTTCTTCCTCGAGACTCTCTGCGCGGAGGCGGAGATGTTTACTGAACAGGACTCAATTGAGCAATAAAGAACAGAAGGAAAAAAGAGTTGCGATGGAGGAGGGGGGGGGGGGGGGGGGGGGGGGGGGGCGCGAATGAGCAAGATAATCGCACACAGGGCGGACGAAGGGAGCTCTCGCTATACGGAGGACTGGGGGTTAGTGACCCTTTTTTTTTTTTTTTTTTTTTTTGCCCTCGTTTCTCCCGCATTCATTGGCAGAAGTCGGGTTGTGTACGGAGCCTGAGGTTCAAGGCCCGCCTCTCCCTCCCTCTCTCTCTCTCTCTCTCCCCAGGGGGCCCCGATCCTGAGGGGCCCACATAGAGGCCAGCGTAGCCCGCCCGGAAGACAGGCTAAGGTGGTCGGGCTTCCGCGTCTCCAGTGCTACAGGGAGCTCTGATGGCCTGAGGCTCCACGAACCGACCAGCTGCAGAAACCAGCTTGTGATGGTAAAACTCCGTAGAGCCAGCAGCGCCTCCTTGCTCCAGTGCTGCGGTCCCGCACGCAGATGCCAGACGCTACGATTACAGCCGACGCCCAGCCAAACGGGCGTCCATGCTCCAGCTCGGAGCTCCACCCAGCTACCAGCACACTTACACTAATGCTCAAAAGCCTAGCCTCTAGGCATCCAAGCACTGCACCTAGAACCCGGCCAAGGGTGGTCTCTGGGCCCCGTCTACGAAATTACCATCCATCCCTGACCCGTACCGGTCCCTGGACCTGTACAGATTCACCTACGAGAGCATCGCTACTATGCAGTAGAGCTACATTTCATTCAAGGATTCACCCTACCGCTGAGGAGAGCCTGTAAGATCACAGGATAGAAGATCGGGATCGCGGAATGGGAGTGGGAGGCGATAAACAGCGTAGGCCATCTCAGCGCTTCGCTCCTCGATCCGATGGTTGGCCTCTCTACCTCGCAATGCCGGTACGAGCACTCCGTAGTCATGGGGGTGAAGGTTGCCGATACAAGTCCGACACGCACTCTGCTGTTGACCTCCGTGGCCGACAGCCCTTGAGGCTCCGTCCGTCTGCATATTCGCCCACTCACATGAGCAGACCGAGGGGAAGCACTTGCTTGATCTGGGATCCATCCCTCCCGGTATATGTGCGACAATAACCCGGCTTGCTGTACGGAGTACTCTTTCCCTTCCACAGCTAACAGACTATTACTCCGTATCTGTAATCTGCACACAGCCCAGTAAAACAGCGGGTCAGCCGGATCGGAGATACTCTGCTGTGCTGTACTGTACGGAGTGATGCTCGTATCGGTAATATCTGTTGACCGAGATCCATCGATATTCATCCGTTGCTCCGATGGACACATGGATACATGTAATCTGTGCAGGACCTGGAGCCTTATAGCTCATCCGTACATCTCACCACATCTCAAGGCAGGGAGGACGGAGACGGACGAGGCCACCGCCCGACGAGGCAAGTACCAGACAGCTGCTAGTATCATATGCAGTATTATCTGTACATCGTGTGTGCTGAGATGATGGCTGCTACGCCGCTTCCCTGATGACATCGTCCTTGTGGTATATATTAGTACATACGTGATGTACTCGCTCGTATACTGTACGAGCACCGTAACTCGCAGTGGCTGTATTGACTAGATGCCCTGCCCAGCATACAAGCACGGAGCTACCGTAAACAGCAATACCGAGAAACTCCTCGCTCATGAAACCCCGAACCGCCGTCCGCCAAACCCCCGAGGACGCAGACCCCCCAGCCTTCTCCGGTAATATTAATATTGCCAGAATTTTATTTATCTATTTATTCGTTCTTAAAAAGAAAGCAAGACATGCCTGTCACTTTTTTTTTTTTTTTTTTTTTTTTTGGGTACGAATAGTAGGCTTGTAACAAGGGAGTAAATCATACATATATTGATGGATTGAGGTAAAAGAGACAAGAAAGGGGACGGAGAGAGAGAAAAAAAAAAAAACTCACATACCCCCGTAACCAAAGTCCCGATGCGCGCAAATCAGATTCCCGTCTGCCTAGGATTATCACCACTATCGTACGCCATAGATAGTAGATATATATACATGTGTACTGTATGTGCATCACGACCGACCTACGGAGTATATTCTCCCCCTCTGCTGTAAAAGCCATTGCTACCTTGAGGGTCGACACATGGCACTGTCATCGTGCGAGCGGGACGGGTGCAGTAGCATCATCATGACTGGGGGGGGTTCACAGCCCTCTACGTGGACAAGTACAGATAAGACGTCACGTCGGCATCTTCGTAGCAGATAACATGCTCGTATGATGCTACATTTTGACTCCCTATTACTTGCTACGGGTGATCCTGCTTGATTTGCTGCTAGTGCACCGGCTAGTGCACAGTCTACGCCCTTGGATCCCAGCTCTCGTCCACATCCTCCATGAGTCCCAGACTCTTGACAGCTTCTGCCCCGAGTATGTTCTCGAGGCCGATGAGCTTGTAGCTGGCCTTGTCGGACGCACCGCCCCCGGGCAGCTCGTTGGAATCGTCGTGCACCACCACGAGCCCACGTGGGAACTTGGGCCCGAGGTTGGTGCTGATGGCCGCCAGCCCGTCCGTGTTGGTTACGCCGTCGACCTGTCCGTCCGACGTCGTCGCCACCGTAAACGTCGTGACGTAGTCGTGCGGGTGCGCCCTCCTGTACACGTTGTACGCGCTGACGCCCTGGCACGACACGAGGATGAAGCCCTTGTCCTTCGCGCTCCCCTGCACCAGCGCCACGCCCTCGACGTCGCCCCAGAGCTTGCCGTCGCCCACGTGCGCGATCCGGTAGCCCTCGCTGCTGCCGTCCGGCTCCGCCTCGAACCGCCAGAGCGCCGACGGCTCCTCGCCGAGCAGCAGCCAGCCGTTGTCCTCGTCCGTCACGCAGCCCTCGACCTGACCGCCGGATCCGCCGACAAAGTCGCGCACCAGCTTCGTCGAGAGCGCGCCGTCCGAGGTCGACGTGAGCTCGTACTGCATGTACCGCCCCGACTTCTCGTTCACAAAGAGGTACTGCTTGCCCGTCTTCTTGGATCGGTAGACGCACGAGCCGTACGTCTCGCCCTCGGCATACGACGGTTGGATGCCGCCCGCAATGTCTCGGAGCTCGCCATCCGTAGTCATCTCGAACATGCTGGCCGGATCAAGAGTCAGATAAGAAAGAACCGACCGCACACCAACGTCCAGCTTGACTCACCAGAGGGTGTTGTCGCCGCGACAGGCGGCAAAGGCTAGGTCGACAGTTCGGTTGCCCGCCTTGAAGCCGTAGATTATGTCGACATTGTCCGGCTGCGCCGATAGCAGGTTCTGCAGCATCTTGCCGTCCAGGTCAAACACGCCCAGACCCGCACCTTCTTCCGACTTGGTAGTCGTCACAATCCGAGACATTTCCGGGGAGACGGGCGAGACCCAGATGGCAGGATCGTCGCCGTCCACGCCGTAGGCCTCCGTCTCGCTCTCGGGCTCGACAAGCAGGAACGAACAGTAGAGGCCGCCCCATGACTCTCCACACCTACACTGCCCCGGGCCGACACAGGTACCGTGGCCCGAACAGTCGTCGGTGCACGTGTTCTTCTCGCATCGCTCGCCGGTCGACCCGGCGAAGCAGTCGCAGGCGTTAGCAGTCTTGTCCAGGAAACCGTTGTAGGAGCACTCCTTGCCGATCGTCGACTCCTCGGTCTGACCGGCCCGGGCACGAGGGTCGTACTCGGTGTTGGCTTTGATCCCCAGTTCTCCGAGGACACCCTCAAGCGAGCTGACTCCGAAGCCTTCAAAGTCGCCGGCCGCCTCCAGGGCGTAGATGAGAGCACCGACGGGGTACCTGGCCGTCCTGGCTTGGTACATGCTCAGACCCTCAATCTCGATATCCTTGAGCCCCGTGATGTTGAGGATCCCGACGCGCTTCCACTCGTAGTCGTAGACAGAAATGGCACCTTCGAGCGCGACAAAGACGTAGTCGCTCTCATTGCCGGCGGTGGCATACACGGCAACGCCGGTAATCTCGTCGCTGGTCTCGGCGGAGACGGAGAGGTTGGGCGGCGTGGTCGACTCGGCCAGATCGAAGCGATACAGCTCATTGCCATCGTCGGGAGCCAGGAGCATCTGGGACTGGGATTCCGAGACGGCGCAGCCGCCGACCTCCACGGGGACGTCGAAAGTCTGAACCTCGACAGTCTCGACCGAGCCATCCCTGGGGCGCACAAGGAGCTGTACGCCCTGGGTCTTGCCGAACAGGAAGAGGTAGTTGTTGGCACTGAGGCTCCTCCACGAGCAGAGGGCAGACCAGTCACCGAGAACGATACGTCGAGACGGCTCCGCGTGGGACGCACCCGGAAGCTGGTAGGCCGAGAGGGCCGATGTGGTCTGTGGGATGGTGAAGAGGTAGTCCTTGCCGTCGACGTCGTAGACGGTGGTGACGAGCTTGGTGCGCCCGGCCCACACGCTCGAGACATTCTTCAGCGGCGAAGCACCGTCCAGGTTCCAGACGTGGAACCCTCCCGTCGAAGTGCCGCCATCGTTGGAGATGAAGAGCGGCTGCTCATCTGAGTAGTAGACCGAGGTCCAGTCAGCCTCGACCAGACCAGACGTGTGGGCCGTGACGTCGAGGTCGAGCTGGACGGCAGCCGTGACGAACCAAGTCTGGAGGATGAGTGCGCAGAAGGCGAAGCACAAGCCGGGGGGGATGAGGCGGAGTTGCATCATCTTCGACCAAGACCATCCAGCTGGCTTTACTCGCAGATGTGCTGACGACGGAGGAAGCAAAACAGGAACGCTTTCCTTTTCCCTCATGACGCGCCATGGCAACTCGGCGACAGCCGTACTACTTGTATAAATCTGTACAGATATTACTCGTGTACGCTTCGTGCCAGCAGCATTGTTACGTGTATTATTATTACTCGTACATGACGAGAAGCCTGGCTAGAGCCCTATAATACCTGTAGTGCTCGTATTGGCGGTGGTAATTTAGCGGCGAGCCAAGAAAGCAAGCGCATAGATGAATAACAGAGCAGACATAGTGCTCGTTGTTATAATCACTTCACCACGGTCCAGGGTCGGATTGCCGTGGGGAAGAAGAGGGCGGCAGTTGGTGGAGAGAGAGGTCAGTGGTCGACGTGAAAAGTGGATAGCGGATAGTGGATAGTGGATAGTGGATACTGGTGAATAGTGAATAATAAAGGTTAAGTCACGCACGTGTGCTGTGCCTGCTTTTAAATTGGAGGTCGATCCTGCCTCATTTTGCGCCACCCACCGCACCTGCCTCGTTGGACGGATAACCGGAGTTCTTTCCATTTAAAAATATTTTAACCATAAAGTCACAGTTGGATCACACCTTCCTCTCCGTATTACATCTTACATATAATACATCATATGATACTACGAGTACTACGTAGTACTCGTAGAATCATAGAGTACGCGGGTAGGCACCTCAAAAGGTACCTTAGGCCACAATCACTCGTAGTAATACTCCGTACCAATATGTCCGATGCGCTGACTAATAACTACTATTACCTACTACGCCATGGCTGCTACTGCCACGATCTTGATCTTGGTCGTCAGCGCCACTTCGATCGAAACCATCATCCCCCCTCTCGCTCCAAAGTGCCTTGCATGTCAACAAACTCACCTCGATGTAGGCATTTTTCTTCCGGCCGTGGTTCATCTACGGATATCGGTTGCGCATATTACGGGGTAAGCCATCTTGGATAGCCAAAACCCTTGGCAGTGCGAGACTCTTGGCGGTGGTGCCGTAGTGCCGTTTCCCCCCCCCCCCACATGCCTGTTGGCAGTTGAACTGATGCTGTTCGACAGATGCACCGCAATGAACCAAACGCATGGGAATAGACCGGCTTCCTAGTAGGAATACGAGTATTGCCTACGTCGTAGCACCGGTCCTCTCCCTCGTACAGGTAGATTTCAGTCCCGTAGACGTACGAGCATACTACTGACGCGACACGGGGGCACGGAGTTCGAGTCTGCCTTGGGCGCTATGGCCACACATCCAACCCGAGACGTCTCGTGTTCCACCATGCCCTCCAGCCATCGCCCGCCCACTGCAACTGGCACAGTCTCCCAAGAGTCTCACCTCATCGCGTTGGCTGCCTCCTGCTGAGACTAACCCCATCGATGTTTTACACGGTCGGCAATGCTGCGGCAGACGTGTATGGTTTTGTCGCTTCATGTCTAGCGCACTGATATTGCGGGACACGAGACGGCCAGGGGGCCGAGGGAGCACCTGATACATGATGCTGAGCGGTGTCAGGTTCCCTCTATCCCATCGGTCGACTGTGTCCATGAGGCTGGCCGCGGACCCTCTTGTCCTCATATCTACTCACGGCGGGCCGTTCCCGTATCCTCGTACGCTTCTTTTTTTTCTCTTGTTGCTTCCAGAGGCTGGGTCTCTGGTCGGTTTTTCGTATTAATATTTTGATTTTGATTCCTATTCTATCCTACGCCTTCCCACAGCAGGACTGTGGCCTTAATCACATGCTTCACCACCATCGTCATCGCCATCACAACCAGGCCAGTCGACTTACGAGACGGTGCTCCAGCTAGCAGCGTGTCCCCAAAAGGGAGAGCGCTGTGTACTCAAGCCGACAGTGCCGGCTTCACAATGGCTCCAGCTGCCGAAGGACCGAGGCGGTTTGCCGCCTCCACTACCGTCGGACAGCTGCCTCCGACCACGACGACGACGTTTACAACCTTCTCATTTCCTCCCTGGACAACAGGTGATGATGACACGGCCGACAACAAACCCGCGGTCAGGCATCGGCAGGTCAAGAGGCAGGGCGTCGTGAGCAGCTCAACCGCCACCTCCACCACGCTTCTGCCTCCGCTTCCATCCGGGCCGCCGGGTCCGCCTCCACCGGGTCCGCCTCCGCCTGGCCCCGACCTCGACCCCGACCCCGGCTACGACAGTGAGGAGAGCCTGAGCGGGGATGGAGAGACAAGTGATGAAGAAGACGGAGTTCTGGACAATTTCATCACAGATCCAAGCTCCGGGAACGAGAAGGAGGTGGACACCACATCTACAGCTTTGCCTTCCAGCACAAGATCTTCAACGATCGTATCCGCTACGGGCTCTGCCACCGAGGTTCCTTCCCCAACATCACCGGACGCCGTCCTTGCCACCGAAACAAGCAGCTCGAATGAGAATGAAACCTGGCCATCGCCTTCCGACTACGACGGCCCGACCTCGGCCTTGGAATCATCTGGCCGCGGTGATGATGACTTCCACCGTGGACCTTCGCCCAGGCAACGGCACCACAAGAATCTGGAGATTGCTCTCTCTGTTCTGAGTGCAATAGGTAACGGCTAACCCCCTCCCCTCTCACCTCACCTCTCCCCTCCCCCCCAAAACCACCGCCACCAACAATCATACATGTCCCTCGCGCATGAGTGTGTATACATCTGCAGTACCCAAGCGCTGACAATCTGTCCCCTGACCAGTTGGTGTCTGCCTTTTGGTGGTCCTGGTATGGATGGTCCGCCGTCGCATGATTATACGCCGCAAACGCAGCCAATCTCCCCCGGCGCCGCCCACCGCTCCTCAGCCCAGCAAGGTGACTCGTTTCCTCAGTTTGGTCCCGTTCCTTCAACCCAAGGTTGCCGATTTCTCCTGGGCATCGCTCAACGAGCGCTTCACTAGCGAGAAGAACACGCCAGAGGAGCGGAAACAGCAGCAGCAGCAGCAGCAGCAGCAACAGAGAGCCGTGCCGTCTTTGAGGGATTCTGCTCCCCCGCTCCCGAGTCTGCCGCCAATGTTTGCCCAGCGAAGGGAGTCCCAGCAGAGCGAGACCCAGCAAAGGCAGTCCAGACAATCGGGTTCCCAGCAGAGCGAGTCTCGGGAGAGCGAGTCCCAAGGCAGTCCAGACAATCGGGTTCCCAGCAATCGGACTCGCAGCAGGTGGTGGCTGACGCCGACCCGTCGGCCGAGCAGAACCCCAAGATCAAGCTGGCAGATGTGGACGAGCTAGGTCTCTCGGCCAGTGGCAACACCCTGACGACGGGCGACATCCAGATTGACCCGCGATCGCAGTACCGGCCCCCGCCCGTCTCCCCCACGGGATCGTCCATCTCATCGGCCTTTGGAAACGGCACCTTCATCCCGCCCACGCCAAGGGAACCGCCCGCGGCGCTCCGCGACACGATGCGCTCGGGTTACTTTGCGGACGAGAACCTACCCTTCCCGCTGATGCCACCGCCCACCCGGCGAGACACGACGTACACGCAATCGTCGGTGTCGTCGGAGCCGCGCTTCAGGACGGTGAGCTCATGGGTAGGTCAGCAGACGAGACGCATAGGACGCGAGCCTGCTCCGCCCGTTCCCGAGCAGGGGTACGGACTGATGATGCCGGACGACCAGGAGCCGAGACGTGTATCTGGAGTGCCACCGCCGCCACCCTTGCCTCAAGATATCACTGGGTTTACTGCAGATAAGAGATGATGACGGTAGAGTGGATAGAAGACTAAACGAGAATTTTTTTCATCTTCTTCAAACCCGAGCAAGAGGAAACAAAAAAAAATACATTCTTTAATCTAACTCGCATTTGTGGAAACTGTTTTTCCTCAAGTTTTTCTTTCTTTAAAAAAAAAAGGTCTATACAAAAGGTGTCGGAGTTTGTAAGGGTGTAGCTTATTTAGACGGGAACATTTCCCAAAATCCAATTTCCATCTGATACCACCGGTTAGTCAATCGTGAGTAGGGTGTGTAGGAGAGTATAGTGTGGATGGATGTACCCTTGTTCCGTGGATGAAGATCTTGACGAGCTCTTCTATACGCGCCGGAGACTGTTTCATGGCGTACTTTTCGAGGAGATCTGAGACGTTTTGTCAGGTGTGTGTCTGTGTGTGTAGGAGAGAAAGGAGAGAGAGAGAGAGAAGGAGAGAGAGAGAGAGAAGGAGAGAGAGAGAGAGAAGGAGAGAGAGAGAGAGAGAGAAGGAGAGAGAGAGAGTGTGTGTGTAAGAAGAAGAGAGGAGGGGAGAGGAGAAAGAAGAGCAGGACAGAAGGGAAGAGGATGGAAAGAGAGAGAAGGAAGATACCAGATCCAAGTCGAACGGCCTCGACATAATCATCGGCAACGTAATTCTTTATCCAGGTCCAGTACGTGTTCGTATCGTCGCGGACGGTATCGGCGTGGCTCCGGAGCATGTCAGCCACGGCGTAGTATCCCAGCAAACAGGGTGCCATGGCGACCTGAAGAGCCAGCCAGTCCTCGCTCTGGCCTACGTCTAGGACGAAGCGGGTGTAGGCGGTGCAGGCTAAATTTTTTTTATCGTCAGTGCCGGGGTTGAATAGTCAGGGATGAATATATTCGGAGATGGAGAGAGTAAACATGCTGTTACTGGACAGTGGGGAGGAGAGGAGGAGAGGAGAGGAAAAGGTACCTTGAAGTTCTTCTGTGGATCGTATCTCGTCTATGGTCATGCCGAAGGATTGACAGTAGTTGAGGTGGAGGGAAGTCTCAGTCATGATGTGGGCGACGATTGCGGCCGACTTTTTTTTTGTTTTCTTGTCAGCTAGGTCTGAGGAATATGAAGAAGGGGGGGAGGGGGAATTTCAAACTAAAAAAGAAAAAGATAGAAATAAAATAAAGGAATTGAATAAAATAAAGTGAGAAAGAGAAGAAAAAAACATACCCGTGCAATATCTCGCATATTTTTAGCCTTATAGGCTGCTAGAGCGTTGGCTCGGGAAAAGTGAATCTACGTATGTCAGTTTAGAGAGAGGAGAGAGGAGAGAGGAGAGAGGGAGAGGGAGAGGGGAAGAGAAGAAGCGGGATAGGAAGAGAGATACCAAGTAAAGATAATCCTGGACAATGTACCCCTTGAAAGACTGGATAGGGAGAGATCCATCTCCCATGGCCATGACAAAGGGATGGTGGACGAACTGACGCCATACGTCCTTGACGTCGGCTCTGGAGAGGAGATATTCGACAAAGTAGCCGCTGCTGTTCTGTCAGATGTCTGCATACGGTGATGTGTGATTTAAAGAGTCGAAGAAGAAGGGTCCCCGAAAGGAGGAGCCGAAAGGAGGGGAAAGGGAAGAGAGGAGAGGAGGGGAGGGGACAGGAAACTCACGGAGCAAAAGGAAGTATATACAGAGAGTGGAAATGGTTCAGAGGACCGTTACCACCTCCCAGTCCCGGAGCCGTCTTGATTCCAGCCTCGACGTAGCGGCAGGCAGATCTGACGGCGTCGGTCATCTCGAGACCATTGGATAGACCACATGCTATGGCGGCTGCGCATGACATCTCGTCAGCTGTGCTTCTCCCTCTCCGTTTTCTTCTTCACACAGAGTCGTTACTTTGGGAAAGAGGGTTTTGACAAGAGAGAGGGAAGAGAGAAGAGATGGGAGAGAGAAAGGGAAAAGAAGGGAAAGAAAGAAAAAGACCCCACATGCAAGAGAACACCCTGTCCCATGAGTGCTGGTCGTCTTCTGCCACGGACTCTGCACCCTGACGACGTCGGCATCCCCAGGGCCAACGAGGACGTCGACGACGACCTTTTCCTTCTCGTCGTCATCGCCATCCCCTTCCACGACGGCAGTCAGGTCTCCCTTGCGCAGGGGGAGATGGCCCCCCTTGAGGAGGACCCATCTCGGTCCGAGGGACTGGATGGTCCGGGCCAGCGTCTCCAGATCGGCGACGGAGCGCAGTTGACCTGGCCCGGGGGGGGACACCCCGGCCTGGATGGCGATCAGCTTCGCCTCGGGGACGTTTGGCGTCAGGATCGTGGTGAGGGGTAGGAGGTGTTTGATGAGTTCCTCTGTGGCTTCATTGGGTAGGAGGGTCGTCCCGGATGTGGAAACCATGACCTTTTTTTTTTTTTGCCTCAGTTACTTTACTTCTTCTCTTGTTCTTGACATTGAGAGGGGGGTGGGGAGAGAGAAAGAGAGAGAGAGAGAGNTTTTTTTTTTTGCCTCAGTTACTTTACTTCTTCTCTTGTTCTTGACATTGAGAGGGGGGTGGGGAGAGAGAAAGAGAGAGAGAGAGAGAGGGGGGGGGAGAATACCGGATCAAGAACCAACTTCTCAACTTCATACTTCCTGATAACCTCCCCAACCATCTCAATAGTCTCGGCAGAGGCCAACATGCCCGTCTTCACGACATCAACACCGATATCCTCGACGCAGGACTCAATCTGCCTCCTCACGAACGAGGTGGGAATGGGGAAGATGTCGTGCACCCCTCTCGTGTTCTGAGCCGTCAGGGCCGTCGTGGCCGTCATGGCGTAGCATCCCTGCGATGCTGCTACTTTCTGATCCGCTTCTAGGCCTCTGTGATTTGTTCTTCAGCCTTCTGCTTTCTCCTCTCTTCATCCTTGCTCTCTCTCTCTTCTTTCTCACACACCCTTCTACCCTTCTCATTCGATATGGTGGGGGGGGGGGGGGGGGGGGAAAAAAAGAAAAGAAGAAACAAGACTCACGCTCCGCCAGAGCTATCAGACCCTGCAATGATCAATATCCTTCCCATTGCCATCATACACGATCGTTGTGATGGTGCTGTGATGTTCGAGAATAATGACTTGGGTAATCTTCTTGACAATGACCTGACCTCGATGGTGGTGGGGGATGAACGGCTGCCCCTCTCGTTCGGTGGGGCGAATTCTTACATGTACGTATGTGCATGTACGCCAACGTTATCCGGTTCATATAAGTCCCTCACTCTTCTTGGCTCTTCGTCTTTCTCTCCCAGTAGTGATACTGTCTATTCTTACTCGCTACAAGCACATTCTGCTCAAAGTGTATACGTTCTTCTCGGTTCAGATGGCATCACGTCATCATTTCGTACTCGGATGTGCCAAGATATCGTCAAATGTCTCTATTTTGAACCCTCGCCGTCTTTGTCTTGTTCTTTCTTCTTCCTCACCCACCCTTGAAGGAGAAAAGATGTATTAGTGGCGATTATGGGACGAGAAGATGAATGAAAAATAAAGAAAGAATAATAATTCTAAACATATCAAGTTATACAGACACTCCTCAACGCCGGATATTCAACGGAGCAGGCGTCATGGGATCCAGTCTCAGCTCCATGGGCTCGCTCACGCTCCTCTGTCTTTCCCCCTTATCGCTCTCTACTGTCCCTCTATTTCCACGTTTTGCCACAAAGATTCGTTCGCCATCTTCCTCCTCCTCCTCCTCCTCCTCCTCCTCCTCTTCTTCTTCTTCTTCTTCATCCTCATCATCGTCATCATCCCCCTCCTCGTCTTCTTCTACTTCTTCCTCCTCATCTGCTTCCTTCTCATGCTCCCGCTCCTGCTTCTCATCCTCCTCATCACTACTGATGCTGTTTCTGTTTCTGCTTCTTCTGCTGCTGCTTCTGCTGCTTCTGCTTCTGCTGCCATCACGTCCACGGTCTTCATTATCGTTGTAGTCGTTATCTTCATCATCATCTTCGCCCTCTTCCTCTTCATCGTCAAAGACAATCTGCCACATGACTCGCTTATCAAACAGGTCAATCACCATTCGACGAACACCCAGACGATAGTGGTTCCACTCCATCAGGCCCATGACCTTCTTGAAGAAGGCCGTGCTCCGGAAGGCAGCAGGTTTCTTCTGTCTTATGCGCTGCAGGTCCGACAGGGCCTTCTTGTACAGCACCATGTTGCCCAGGTTGACGATGAGTTCCAGGATGCGCTCGTCTGTTTCGATCTCGTTGGCCTGCTGCTGCTGCTGCTGCTGCTGCTGCTGTTGCTGGTCCTGCTGCTCCTCGGATGGCTGACCTGCCGCCGATGGTGCCGGCCAGGCCTCGGGCTGCTCCTGGATCGTGCGCTGCGTGTCCAGCACCGTCATGCCGGCTATGCTCTCCGGCTTCCAGGGTGCGATGGACAGCAGCTTTGACAGGTCGTTAGGGATGCAGAAGCCCAGGGACTGGCCCATGGTGGTCGTGTTGGAGTCCCACCCGTGCTCGGAGAGCATCTCGAGCCCGTGCGTCGACCGCGAGATGAGGCCCAGCACGAAGAATGCCGTCCCGCGCAGGCTCATCATCTCGTGCCTCTCGGCAATCTCGATGATGCGCTCCACCACGTCGCTGCCCTCGAGGAAGGGGGCCCCCAGCTCCATCGACCCCACGTTGCCCACCGCCCACAGGCATCCCTTCAGCTTCGTCATGAGCTCCGGGTCCTTGACCTGCATGCCGTGCTGGCGGATCGTGCTGGCAAACTCTTCAAAGTGGCCCTTGTCGCTGAGCAGCCTGCAGCCCTCCTGCGTGCGCGTGAGCTCGCGGTAGAAGTGCGGCGGCACGTGGCTGTCGTGGAAGTCGGCCTCGGCCTCGGCCTCGTCCACGGAGAACAGGCCCATCCGCCCGCCGATCCCGCCCACCCCCGCCCCGTTGTCATCCGGCCCCATCAGGAACGCCTTGGCCAGGCTGGCCTCGATCACGCTGACGTACGTGTCGTTGCGGCCCAGGAACCAGTCGTCCATCTCGTTGCTGATGTAGTCCAGCCCGTCCAGGTAGTGGTACCCGATCGACGTCGACAGGAACCGCAGCAGCAGCGGCGCCGCAATCTCTCCCAGGTGGTCCAGCGACGGCCGGCACTCGACAATGTACTCCAGGCATGCCTTGCGGTTGCACGCCTTCTCCAGGATCTTGATGGCCGTCGAGCAGACGTCCACCTCGGGGTCATACAGCTGTGTCACCAGCAGCTGGATCGCCCACTTGGACTCGTCCATGCCGGAGTACCCGTTCGTCGTCGGGGACGGGCGGATGGCGTACTTGCGCAGCGCGTTGGTCGCATGGATCCGTATGTCCTTGGTCCCCGCCGTCAGCGCCTTGGACAGCAGCACCCGCGGGTGGCCCTGTACGCTGTAGTCAAAGTTGGACAGCAGCAGCTTGATCAGGTCCGGCCGCTGCTTCAGGTCGACGATGTGGTACATCATGTTGAACATGCGCCACCGTTCCAGCAGCTGCAGGCCTCGCGCGTCGCTGCTCAGGACACCGAGCATCGGGAAGTACCCTCCACAGAGCGTGTCGAGTAGTCGGTCCTTGGAGAACATGGGGAACTGTGCGGTCAGACCACTTGTCTGGGAGCCGTCAGTCAGCCGTCAGATCATCGTCCTCTAAAGCACGCGGCCAATACGAGAGGAGGTGAGGAGGAGAGGAAGCATACCGGATCACACTGAGCCAGGCACTCGGCCATCTGCCTGAGAAGCTTACTATCCGCCAAGAACTTGACGCCCTCCGGCGACTGCAACAGCGAGTGCACGAGCGCACACCCGACCCTGACATACTTTTGCGTATTCCGGGTATTCCTCGTCTCGGCGAACTTGTACTTGAACGGACGGTAGAAGCTCATGATCCTCTTCATGAACTTGGACGCCTTGATAGCCTCCTCGAGGCGCTTGCCATTCTGGAGCGGTCCGCCGATGATTTTGAGCACGACTTCCCAGTTCCATTTGCCCCAGTTCGAATGGTTGAGGACGCCCGAGTCGATGAGGAGCTGGCGGAAGGTCGCATCGTCGAGAACCATGCCGCCGCCGCCGCCCACGCCCGATGACTTGGACTGCTGCTGCTGGTCATCGGCGAGGAGCGACGACGTCAGGTCGCTGAGGCTGCTGCTTGAGGGTAGGGCGGCGGTGCCCGCCAGGGATCCCGAGGGCGTGCTCCGGTACAGGGTGCGGCTGACACTGCTGATCTGGTAGACGATGCCCGAGGCGACAAAGCGGTCGTCGCTGTGGATCTGGGCGGCCGCCGAGAAGAGCTCGGGCAGCAGCTGGAGCTCGCTGCTCCACGAGGGGGGGAGGAGGCGACTGGCCAGCTTGAGGACCTCGCCTATGAGCAACGTCGTCTTGCGTTTCAGCATGGCGTCCTCCTCGGTCTGCGCCATCTGCAGCAGGCTCTGCACCAGCCCGGCCTTGATGAAGACGGCCAGCAGCAGCGCAATGTAGTGCTCCACAAAGTTCTGCTCTCCGCCGTCCTCCTCGAGGTAGGCCGTCGTGCTGCCCCTGCGAGCCCTGTTGTTGTCGCCGGGTGCTTTGAGGTTGGTCACGCGCCCGTACGTCGTGAGCCTCCTGCCTGCGAGGAAGGAAGTAGCCCACGCCGGCGGCTTGATGCGCAGCAGCGAGAAGAACAGGTCGAGGATCGTCTCTCGGATCGTCGCGTTGGGGAGGACCATGGAGGCGATCAGCGACCGTACCGATCGGCAGTCGTACATGCTCAGGGTCATCAGGCCCGACCACGAGTTGAGCGCCGTGTAGATGGCCCTCGAGTTCTGCTTCAGCACGTTGACATCGCTGATCGTGTGGTCCGTAAAGGCCGTGAACAGAACGTCGAGGCCGTACCCGGGTTGCACGTACTTGCGTCGATGGGGGGAGTCTAGCAGAAACAGGTAGGCAGAAGCCAGGCTCTCGGGCGCCTTGTACGTGCCCTCTCCCAGCGCCTCGGAAAGCGGGCCCATTCCGCCAGATGCGAGGACTAGCCGCGGGTCGCGGACCAGGATCTCGGCCAAGGTCTCGATGCAGATGGGCCGCAGGCGGTCGCTGTCCATGTCGACCGCCTGCATGTTGGGGCGCCGGTCTTCACTAGCCTCGGCGACGGCCACAATGGTGCGGACAATGGCGCGAGAAATCTCCTTGACGCCGTCCTTGACGTCGAGAAAGGCACGGACGAACTTGAGGGCCTGCTCTCGCTCGACATCGGCCTTGCGGTAGTTGTTGATGGATCTTTTTGAGTCAGATTTGATACATGTTACAATGAATACGCCCTGGCATCTGAATCATGTGTGCGTGTAATGCTTCACAAGGAACAGAGAAAGAGAGAGAGAGAGAGAGAGAGAGAGAGAGAAAGAGAAAAAACATACCGGACAACGAGGTAGTCAGTGTTGAGACTCCGTATCTTCCTCAGTGATGCCCGATCCGAGATGGCATATCTAGTCATGCGGTATCCCGCAGCGGCCACCTCGCGACTCTCGCTCAGCAGCATGACCTGCATGCGGAGGCCAAAGACGGACCAGACGAGGTCGTACTTGAGAGTGGGGTGGCGCTTGAACAGGTCGACGAGGAGGTTGCCCCTGCTGACGTAGTACTCTGGAGTCATACCTTCGACCTCGAGAGCCTGCAGGAGCTCTGCAAGGGCAAAGGTGGGGCTCTCGGTGCTGTTGCTGTTCTCCTCGGGCCCGGCAGCCATGGCGTCGGAGCCGGCCCAGGATCGCGAGACGCTGTGCGGGGAGCTCGGATATCCACGCTCCCTGTCGCGGTTGCGCGTCGGGGTGGGCGGCATGGCGGGCTGGGCGCCCGAGGAGTAGTGTTGCTGCTGCTGCTGCTGCTGCTGCTGCTTCTGGGTATCGGCTATACGCTGGCGCAGGTCCTTGATTCGCAGGTTGCTGGCGCTGAGCTCGGCCTCGACCCTGGTCCGTTGGTCGCGCGTCTGCTTTGCCTTCTTCGCGTGCAGGGCCTCGAGCATATTCTCGCTCCCTTCGCGGATCTTGAGTTCGCGGTTGAGACGGTCCTTGAGAGCCGTGACAGTCTGCTCGGCAGTGGCAGTGGCAGTGGCGGCAAGGGGAGCGGGACCGCCGCCGCCGCCGCCGCCGGCACCACCACCACCGGGGACGGACTCATCCTCGTCCACCTTGTTCATGATGCTGGACGCGTACCCGAGGTCCATGCGGCTCCCGGCGCGGCTCGACGTCATCTGGCTGCGCAGGTCGGAGCTGAAGCTTCCCGGGGCGACGGAAGGGTTAAAGCTCCCCGCCGACCTCTGCTGCTGTCCCGACGACAGGGATGGCTGTATCCTCCCCATGGACGGGGGAGGGGGTTGCAGGCCTGCCGTCACATCTCGCTCGTAGCTGGTCCGACCCGTCTTCTGATGGTAGGGGGAGGTCTGCTGCTGCGGAGCTATGATGCTCTTCTGGGTCGGCGTCGACGACATGATGGTCACGAGGGCGCCGTAGGAGGAGAGCCCACCAGCTGGGACGATGCCCTGGCTTGGTGGGTTTGGCTCATTCGTTTTCGGTGTATTCTGGCCCAGATGGGGGGGAAATGCTGTGCTATCGACGTGTTTTTCTTGTTCCTTCGAAGGAGCGTCGTCGTCCTCGTCGTCGTCGTTTCGTCTCCTGGACGCAGAGGGCGGCGAGAGCTGTGCGTGTGTCAAAGGTCGCCGTGCCCCCCCATTCGCAAGAGCAGGCGTCGTGGTAGTGACGTCGATGGCGGTTGGAATTCTCGTGGATGTCGGATGGAGTTGCTCGCGATTTGATTTTTTTTCTCTATTTTCTTTCCCTCTCCGTTGGACCGCGTGGACTTTTTGGAGAGTCAAAAAGATGTTGCGTGTGTGCGCTGCGTGTGGGTAAGAACTGGGAGGAGGTGGTGGGATTTGAGGCGCAGGCGGGTCGTTGACTGTGTTGGCCCACGATGGGCGCTGGGAGGACGAAACTGCGTTGTACGATGGCTCTACTAGGACCTAACAGAACGGTACCAACTTGGATATAATAGCAGCCAGTCTGATCCAGAACAATGCGAGTGTCATGTATCGAACCGTGACGGTTCGGAAGTCCGGTGTACAATAAGACTGGAGTATTGTTTTTTCATTCCATGCCTTATCATCTAGCAGTCAGTACAGGCTGACATCTGCTGTTTTGTTGAGGCACATCTCTACGCAAATACCCTGTAGAGCCTACGAGCGCGAAATTGACTGGCCTCATGCAGCGTACTCTCCGGCGTAGATGTCTATCGAAGGGTCATCTTGTTTGGAGAAGAGTCCTTGATATGAAATCGAAACGGAACGAGGTGAGCAGAGAGACGGGATGATAACATGCAGTGTTTGAATGAAATATCGTAATTGTAGATAATGTTGAAGCTTCAGCACTCTGTTCTACTAACCTCCGCACATCTTTCTACCTCCAAAGCAAAGCAAGCGGGGAGAAAGCTTTGACTTGGCAGAGATAAGAGATAAGACACTTGGAGATAAGACCTTGAGTTGCTTATCAAAAAAGACGGCATTGACTTTGGGAAAAATAGAAATCAGAGACAGCAGTGTCAAAGTACCATAACGAGACATTGCCAAAAGATAGAGCGGCGGCCACATGGTTGAAGAGAACCCTTGATCTAGAAGAATAAGGTAGGGAAGGGGGGGGGGGGACCGAAATACGGATACGGAGTACATGGGCTGATAATTGACGAACCTCCAAGGGCATCGGCGGGCTCCGGATTTAGTAGCGGTACAAATCGATGCCTGTGTCCGGCGCTCGCAGCCAACAAGAGAGGCGGAAACCGGCGATGGGCTAGACCCAAGGGTCCAATAGCCGGAGGGGGAGCCCTCCATGGGTTGTAGCTCTGGCTTATCGGTCGTTTATCATTGTGGTAATCAATGATATTTATACAGACTTTCTCCTTCTTCCCCTTGTCACGCACTCTCTCTTTCCCTCCCTTCTCTCTTTTCCATCAGCAATAGCAGCAGTATCGTCGGTTTCCCCCATCATCGACAGCTTGTTCGAACCTTTCGTCTATTTCTATCTTTATTTTTTATATATAGTTCCCATCTTTCGAATCCAACAAAATGCCCCACGTCGCTGCAGCCCGCTATGGCAAGGACAATGTCCGCGTCTACAAGGTGCACCGCGACCCGTCGACGGGGACGCAGACGGTGGTGGAGATGACGGTGTGCTGCCTCCTGGAGGGCGACATCGAGACGTCGTACACGCAGGCCGACAACAGTGTCGTCGTGGCTACCGACTCCATCAAGAACACAATCTACATCACGGCCAAGCAGACGCCCGTCAGCCCGCCCGAGCTCTTCGCCTCCCAGCTCGGCAGCCACTTCATCGAGACCTACGGCCACATCCACGCCGCCCACGTCAAGGTCATTACCCACCGCTGGACACGCATGACAGTTGACGGCAAGCCCCACCCCCACAGCTTCCTGCGCGACGGCGAGGAGAAGCGCGTCGTCGAGGTCACCGCCCGCAGGGGCCAGGGTATCGCCGTGGCCAGCGGCATCCAGGGCCTCACCGTCCTCAAGAGCACCGGCTCCGCCTTCCACGGATTCCTCCGCGACGAGTACACCACCCTGCCCGAGACCTGGGACCGCATCCTGTCCACCGACGTCGACGCCACCTGGAACTGGTCCGCCTTTGCCGACCTGGCCGCCGTCAAGGCCGCCGTGCCCACCTTCGACAAGGCCTGGGAAGACGCCCGCAACATTACCCTCAAGCTGTTTGCCCTGGATGAGAGTGCCAGCGTCCAGAACACCATGTACAAGATGAGCGAGGAGATCCTTGCTGCCGCTCCCGGTGTGGACAATGTCCAGTACTCTCTGCCCAACAAGCACTACTTTGAGCTTGGTATGTTCTCTCACCCCCCCCCCCCCCCCCCCCCCCCCCTTTTTTTTTTTTTTTTTTTTTTTTTTTTTGCAAAACTTTTCTTCACGTCAAGCGATAGCTAACAATGCCCAAAAATAGACCTGAGCTGGCACAAGGGAATCAAGAACCTCGGCAAGGATGCCGAGGTGTATGTGCCCCAGTCTGGACCCAACGGTCTGATCAAGTGCACTGTCGCTCGCTCGTAAGTTAAACATCATCTTCTGCTTTTTATCGCATCCCTCCAGGTTCTGACCGTGTATAGGGATATTGCCACCAAGGCTAAGCTGTAGTCGGGACTGAGGCTCTCATATGTGTGTGTATGAATGACCAGCGTTGACATTTTGATTGTGTACTACTCTATGGCGCCCGCTCTTCATGTTTTTCATCCTAAGATTATCCCAGTATATATTGTTTCGGTCATTGCCTCCTCTGTATCTAGTACTACGAAACCGATTATGATTCTCTACCTCCCACGACATGCAGTAGTGTTATCTCGTGATTTCCCGTTGAAGGCGACCATTGTACATGTGCATATATTCACAATTGGCAACCATGGCTGTCCCGCCAGGTCTATATAGCATAAAAGACGCTAATCGAGCAGAACCCCCCCCAGCTATCAAGCCCTTGAGTGCTGTCCGTGACGCTCAACCCCCCTTAGTCAAACACGGGGGTGTGCCCCTCCCCGAAGTAGTGTGAAATAGCCTAATAGTACATTGTTGCCACAACCGATGACAAGACTGAGAGCGAATTACTCGGTAATCGAGAGAAAGAAGCCTGACCCCTCCCTCTATACCCTCTTCTTATCTGTAGCCCTCAACGAAGCAACAGCCTTATCCCAGCCAGGCTCACCGACGACTCTGCCCCCGAACCTCACAAGGTTCTTCTTGTAGGGGTGGGCGTCGCCCTCGAAGACCTTGAGGCGCGCCAACCTCGGGTCCCTCAGCCTGTTCTTAGGCAGCATGCCGCTGACGGCCTTGCGCAGGACCTCGGCGCCTCCGTGCCTCTCGACCAGCTCGTCCATGGCCAGGGTCTTGAGGGATCCGGGGCGGGTCGAGTGGCGGTGGTACTTCTTCTGCCAGAACTTGCGGCCCGTCACGTTGAGCGCCGCCGCGTCCGTCACCACCACGTAGTCGCCGCAATCGGTCGAAGGGTCGAATATGGGCTTGTGCTTGCCCATCAGGATGATGGCGATGCGTGAGGCCAGGCGGCCTAGCGACGGGGGGGTCACGTCCTCACCCGTCTTGGTGGATAGCGTCGCGTGCGGTTTCGTCGCCGAGATGTGGTGCCATGTCCGTGAGTAGGCGAGGCGGGTCTTGCAACAGGTCAAAAAAGGTTAGCCAATGTCACGCGAGTCCGTCTGAGGTCTGTCCATCTCCCCTCTGAACCGGGTGAGGAGGAAACTCACGAGACCGACGGTCTGAGACATTGTGAGGTCTGGGAGAGGGAATTCAGTCCCTCGGGGGCAGTACGTCTCCTTGATTGCTCTTCCTTGCTGTCGGCTTCCCCCTTGATGCCGTGTATTGTCGTCGTCGTTGGTGTGTTTTTTTTTTGGCCAAAGGGTCAGATTGACCCGGTAGTAATGGCTGACTCATCCATCGGTCGAGAATCAAAGTCACATGACCTCGCGGCGCGTTCCTCTGGACGGACCCACACCGGCAAGGTACATCAGCAAAGTCCGAGAGCTACAGACGGATTTCAAAGCATCTGCGGGAACGGAGTTGAAACCAGTAGTTCTATTTGCTTCTTTCCTCTCTCCTCCCCCACCTGCGTGTTAATACTCGTAGTATATCTCACAGATGCCACTTCGAACCTCAACTCCCTTGAAGATCGCCTTGTCGTCCAGCATCCTGGCCACAAGCAGCTACGCCGCATATGATAGATACTGCGCCTACTACCAAGACACACGTCCGCCGACACCCCCGCCAGCAGCACCACCAGCATCGTCATCAGCCTTATATCGAACCACTACCAAACTCCCCAACATCGCCGACAACAAAATGACGGTCAACCATTCGTTCCAGGTAAGCGTCATGCATCAGAAGAGGCGACACAGAAACAAGGCAGACTGTGTGTCCATACCGGGAACCGGCAACTCAAACCTTCGTTGCTGATGACTTGCACGGACAGACCGTCTTCGCCGTCCCCCTGTCGTGTGAGAGCTGTGTCAAGGACGTTTCAGGAGCCCTCTACAAGCTCGGCGGCGTATCCAAGGTTGAGGCGAATCTCGAGGATCAACTGATTTCTGTCCATGGCTCTGGTAAGTTTTTTTTTTTTTTTTTTTTTTTTGGGTACGCCTGCACAGATGTTGTATTGGTGGAGGACTGACGTGTGCGTGTTCAGCTGCCCCGTCGTCTATTGTTAAGGCTATTCAGGACACCGGACGGGATGCTATTCTACGCGGATCGGGGGGCTCCAACAGTGAGTGGCAGGCACTTCCCCTCTCTCCTTTCCCCCTTCTTTCTTCCTCTTCCCCTACCTGCTTTGCTCTGCGCTACTTTCAACATTCTAGACCACCCACGTAGACCGCGGGGTGCCATCCTATCAGAGCCGTACTGACAATCCCAGGCGCCGCTGTGAGCATCCTCGAGACCTTTGTGGATAAGCGGCAGACCAAGGATGAGGGGACGGACCGAGAAGTGCGCGGTCTAGCGCGCATGGTGGAAGTCGGATCGGGTCACACGCTCGTCGACCTGACCGTCCGCGGAGTATCACCGGGGACGTACCGGGCCACGATCCGCGAGTACGGAGACCTGAAGGACGGCGCAGAGTCTGCCGGACCCGTCTGGCAAGGCGGTAGCAGCAGTGACGCTCCGAGGGGAAATCTGGGTACCGTCGTAGTCGGTCAGGACGGCCGTGGCTCGGCATTCGTCGGGCATCCCTTCCATATCTGGGAGACGATAGGACACGCCATGGTCCTCACCAAGCAGGAGGACGGCGTCGGGGAGCTAAAGAACGACGAGGATACCGTGGTGGGTGTCATTGCGCGCAGTGCGGGCGTCTGGGACAACGACAAGACCGTCTGCTCTTGCACAGGTAAGACGCTCTGGGAGGAGAGGAAGGATGAGGTGGCCAAGGGGATGCTGTGAGCGGCTGCGAGCCGAGCATGCAGCTCATAAGGGAGAGGTGTGGCTCAGAGGTTGGGGGGTGGGGAGGATCGGATAACAGAACGTCATGTACTGTGATGATGAATGCATGAGAAACGAAGGGCGCGAAAGTGAAGAGGGTTTGCGGCATATGCTTGGTTTGGTGTACTGTGTGTATATACAGGTTGCGTTGATGACTTGTCCATCTGGAGTCTGGAACCCGGGGGGAAGGGGTGTACAAGATAGAAGGAGGGAAGGAGTTTGAACTATTCAGAGATAGTGTGTGTGTGTGTGTGTGTAGGCGCAGTCTCTGTTTCCGAACACTGTGTGTCTTCCCATATCTCATGTGTGTGTGATAGGTTGGGAGCGAGAAGAGGGTGTGCTGAATATGCGGTAGTATCGTTATGGACGCTCTAGTATAAAACGGTCATGTTTGAGAAGTGTGAGCTACATCTACATGGTAAATGAAGGGAAGGGGCATTGATGGTATCATGCCATCAGACATGATAGTTGTGTATCGTACCGGCACATGGCAATCAACCCACCGTCGCATCAATGCTGTCCGTAGTATTCAGGTGATGGAAGGGTCAGCAACTATCACTACCACCGGACGACTACTGTTGCTTCTATAACTGCTGCTAACGGACATTGGGCAATTACATGATGTGACCCCGCAGAATATGCTCGTACGATGGATAGCATGGCATGGCATGATGCCAAGATGAGGGTGTTGAGCTGTGGCCTGCAGGCTCTTCCGCCAATATTATTTCCTAGCTATTGGGGGGGGGGGGGGGGGGGGGGGTTTTTTGTAGGAAAACACAGAAGGGGAGGCGGGGGGGGGGGGGGGGGGGGGGGGGGGGGGGGGGGGGGTGAATGGTTATCGTTTTGAGATTATCCACTGATGTTTTCTTTTCTTTTCTTTTTCTTTCCTCTTTCCTTTCTGCGCTCCCTTCTTTACATGTGCTGTCTTCCGGAGTATCGGTTCATGTATGGATGTACGGAGTAGTACGAGTATTCATACTCAAAAGACGGGAGGGCGCAGAAGAAGAAAAAGGGGATAGGAAAAAAAGTTGATCGAAGAAGAGAAAGAAGGATAAAGAGCAGGGGAGGGAAAGATATGCAGGTGAAGACGCATCCCCCCCCCCCCCCCCCCCCCCCCCCCCCCCCGCCCCAGCCTCCACGGGTTCACAGTCACGTATGTGCTGTATCCCCCTGGCTGGGACTAGGACTGGTTTCACCTTGTCACAGCACAGCCAGACACGTGCCCTTGATGCACCACCGGTAACGGGAATACGGCCACTTTCTGTACGTGTACAGAGTACGGTACCATCATTATACGAAGCAGAGGCGTTTGAGGGGGGGTCTTGGCTTTTTACGTACTTCTTTTGATATATTTATCTCGAAATCGTACGAGTCCAGTCCTATTACCCGTACTAGTACGGAGTAATAATACCGATAGTATGTATTGAGAAGGGTGCGGAGGGCGGGAAGGGCGGTGACACTGATGAGGAAATATCGAAGACTGTGGTAGGTCAATATTCTGTGACTCGGCAGTTGGGGGTCCGTCAGGATGGAACCAATTGAGTTGACGAGAGCAGACGACGATGTTGACGGGACGGACACTGTGACGACGGTGATGACGATGATGACGATGTAGCGTAGCAGGCTGTACGGAGTCACCATACCTGTGCATGTAATCTGTAGAGTGATGAAGGATGGAACTAGAGCAGCATCATGGAGTATCAATCAAGTGCTTTCCATGTCTGGCGCTTAACGGTGAAATGCTATGGGCAGAAGGTAGTGCACTAGTAGGCACGCACTCGTACTAAATAATCGAAGCACAGGTGACATGATAATAGCATCCGGCACTAACATAACTTTGGGCCGTTTGGGGGGGGGGGGGGTTCGGGCTGGGGCTGGAGCTGGTACGACGTCGACGTACGGGCAGGTGGGGTTGAGCTATTCGGCGGGGGCGCCCTTCCTGAACGATCTTTGCCAGTCAAGAGAGCCCGGATGCCGATGGGTGTGGTGCAGTATACTATGAGTCCACAGCCTACAGGTACAGCCTACAGGTAGTAATGGTAGAGTGATAGCGTCAGCTACAGGGAATGTCGCTAGTCGCCCTAGGTGATGCGTGGGTGCTCTGGCTCTGGGCCTCAGTTTTTGGGTGCCTTGTATAGGCTGAAAGGATTCATCGATGGGGCTAAGCCCGAGCCAAGGGCCAAGCTTTGTGGCTGCTGTGCGCGCTGAGGTGATGCTGTGCGCGATGCTGCACACGTGCTGTATGCACGTCGTGCAAGGCCAGTATGATGGAATAGAAGAGGTGGCAGTTGTGCGCGATGGGGGAGTGGGAAAGTGCTACGACTCCTGGGATGGGTTATTGGTGAACACTGGCGGTATACGGGACAGCATCGTATACATCACCACGTACAATGTGTGCACATGCGCCATCACTACGAGTGTGAAGGGGAACTCTGCATCCGTAACCCGCTGACAGCTGTACGGCTACTCGCAGACAAAGCAGGTACGCGTAAGGCGTCGATCAGATGACCCCGTCAAGGGAAGGGGCAAGCTATGATACCGGACCCCCCATCTCAGGACCTCGGTCATGCTGCAGGCTGTCATATATCACTGGTAGGGTGATGTACAGGGAGAGGGGACGGATGACTGGAAGAGAAGCAAGAGAAGCAAGAGAAGCAAGAGAGAGAGAGAGAGAGAGAGAGAGAGAGAGAGAGAGAGAGAGCGAGAAGATGAGAAAGAGGCCGTCTCAGCAACAGATCCGTAAGTCTTGGCAACTCTGTTGGTTCGAGTAAGACACCGTACCAGTACGTCGGTTGTAGACCTTGCGTTGGGTATTACGGATAGCCTGTGCCTGCGCAGAGTAGGATCCGCAGATGCAACCTCGGGGAATTCTTACGTCGAGTAAGAAAGCATGGCGATAATACCGACTTGGAGCAGGCATCATGAGAGAATGACCATCTTCGCTCCCGGATGCGAGTACCGGATGAGTATTGTTGGATGAGTGCCGAGTATGATTTAGTACGAACATCGAAAGCGATACGACCAAGAGTCCCGCGTACCTGTCCGTATGGACATCTGCTTCATCCAACCGGGGATCCTCTTCCCTGCAACTCGACCAGTCTCGGGACGTGACTCAAGCAGTAGCCCCTGGTTTTCAACTCTCCCCAAACTCTGCGACGAGCGCATGAAAGTGTCATGAACCCACGTCTGTATTTTGATCGCATGAGTCTGCTACTTCCGAGATACCCCCTTAAAAGCTTATCCTTCTATAGTCCTTTACTCCCACCCATTCACCTACCCACCCCCCCCCCCTCCTGCTTCTTCTCGATCCTCTTCTTCTTCTCTTCTTTCTTTTCTCGCTTCTCCTTTTGTTTTTGTCATATTGCTCTATATTCTTTTAATACTCTGGCGTCTTCTTAATTATCAGGCAAAGGCAACACTCCTTCTTTCACTTGTGTGTGTGTGTGTGTGTGTGGTTGCTCCTTCCCACAGTTCACCGCCGCCGGCCACTCGTTCTTTTCTGCCTGCCCCGCTTCATCGTTGACCGACAGCGCGCGTGCCTCTTTTCTCTCTCTCTCTCTCTCTCTCTCTCTCTCTCTCTCTCTTCGATAAATTTCAATTCTCCACGAGATCGACAAGTTCAACGTCTTCCTGTATGCACGGCCGGTCCGTCGTCACACACACAACGCATACGACTACGTATTTCTTCGGTCGATAGTCTTATTTTCTGTCACCTGCACATTCGCTACTCGCACATGGTGCCAAAAATAGCTCGACATTTTGATTTCCAACCGAACAGCCATCAAAAAGGACGCGCATCACCAGAAAAGGCTCATTTTAGTCTGAAGCCACATAAGACAAGAAAGCATTAATACTGTACGTTCAGGCACACACACTACCCCAAGAAAGAAGAGGAAAGAAGGGGGGGAAAAAGACCACTTTATTTTCCTGGCTCACAACTGGCTGGCACAGAAATCCTCACTCCATTTTATTGTCCGAGTAGCCACTACTCGATTCCTGTCCATCCCAGACCTCCGTCGAGCCGCCGCCAAGGCCTGACCCCGGCCACTGGCAGCCACCAATTATCTCGACAACAGCTAGCCCACACACACGCACATGAGAGTACGAGACTGAGAGTGCGCCGGTACGAGTACTTGCTCTGCCATACACCAGTACACGAATACACGAGTACCCCCCCCCCCCCCCCCCCCCCCCCCCCMCCCMAAAAAMCCCGCCCCCCCCCCCCCCCCCCCCCTCCAAAAAAAAAAAGAGGAGACCCGCTCTGGCCGCTCATCACCGCACCACCGCACCACCGCACCACCACCACCGACCGTCCGTCCGACCCTGTTTCGTCTCATTAAGCGACCACGGCCTCTCGACCTTTTGACCTACGCCACACTCTCTACTCTCTGTTCTCTTTAACCACCCATCAACAGCTCTCCCTGACCCTCTCTCCCTCCCCCTTTTTCCCCTCCACCTCTCTTGCCCTACGCAAAGCGTCGCTTTTTGCATTCTGCTTCTGCAATTGACCCTTAATACCCACCTCGTATCCCGGCGTGCCAATCTTCTCTTCTTCCTCATTCACCCTCTCCTCGCTTGGACAAGTGAACCCCACAGAGTGAGTGAGTGAAAGAGCCTGCGCGGCGGCTGCAACCATGTCTTTGAAACAGGTACGTCTTGTCATACACACACCGTCACATATTACCACTACCGCTACTACCTGGTGGCAGTAGTATGCAAGAGAGACGGCTACATACCCCCATTACCTCAATATACAGAGAGCATCTGTCACGAAGTCACCGTCTCGTGCCACAACTACCCTGGGACATTGCCCCGAGACAAGCGAATACTGACACGGCTCCATCAAGGAAATCGAGACATGGGTCACTGCCCTGGAGCGCTATGATAATAATGAATTTGATGAGGCTGTCACCGAATTTGAAAAGATTGGAGACACCAGCAAGATCCTCTTCAACATGGGTGTCATCCACGCCACCCTCGGCGAGCACGAAAAGGCCGTCGAGTGCTATCAGCGAGCCGTAGGTCTGGACCAGTACCTCGCAGTAGCCTACTTCCAGCAGGGAGTCTCCAACTTCCTCCTAGGAGACTTTGAAGAGGCCTTGGCCAACTTCAACGACACCCTGCTCTACCTGCGCGGAAACACAATCATCGACTACTCGCAGCTGGGTCTCCTCTTCAAGCTCTACTCGTGCGAGGTCCTCTTCAACCGCGGCCTGTGCTACATGTACCTCCAGCAGAGGGAGCCCGGTATGCAGGACTTCATGTACGCCGTCAAGGAGAAGATTGTTGAAGACCACAACGTCATCGACGAGGCCATCCGCGACGAGGCAGAGGGCTACACCGTCTTCTCTATCCCCGTCGGTGTCGTGTACCGCCCCAACGATGCCAAGGTCCGCAACCTCAAGACCAAGGACTACCTGGGCAAGGCCAAGCTAGTCGCCACCTCGGACCGCAGCAACGCCTTCACCGGCTTCACCGGCTCCGAGATCAAGAAGTCCACCACATCCCGCCAGGACGTCAAGGACGACCGTCCGGCCGACAACATCTCGTTCGCGGCCACGAACCTGGTCCGCCCAGACCTGCGCTCCCGCCGGGATGTGTCGGAGCCGCCGGCCGACCGCAACGTCTTCCCGCCGACACCGCCGCCCGAGGCCGAGCGCAGCAGCAGCAGCAACGCCATGTCCCGCGGCGCTTCGGTACGCAACGGCACCAACAGCATGCGGCCTCCGCTGGCCAAGCTCAACATCCAGACCCAGGACGGCGGCAGCCGACGGTACGAGAAGGCCGCGTCGCCGCCCGACAACCGCACACCCCTCAGCCGCTCCGCCACGGCAACCTCAGCGCGCAGCTACTCTCGCGACCCCCTCCAGCGCCGCCCCACGCTCCGCGAAGAGGACGACCCGATGTCGGCCGTGTCGTCGGCCGGCCCCCGCGGCAGGGGAAGCGCCTACCCCAGCGACCTGTACGACATGTACCAGCAGCGTCCCAGACCCGGAAGCCGAAGCCAGTCCCGCGGCCCCCCTTACCAGACCTACCAGTCTCGTCGCATGGACCCCGAGGATCCCCCCTCAGACTACGACGACGGGTCCGTCGATGAAGGGGATTTTGATATGCTCCCCGCCCAGCGACCGGCTCGACCGGGTACGTCGACATCCATGCGCTCCCGCTCGCGTCGTCAACCCCCCGGCCAGAGTCAGAGCCAGGACGTGCGCAAGATCCGCATCAAGGCCTACGCCGCAGACGACGTGCGGTATATCCTCATCGACACGGGCATCTCGTATCCGGACTTCCTCGACAAGGTGCGCGACAAGTTTGGCTTGGCCGGCCGCCGGTTCAAGGTCAAGATGCGCGACGAGGATATGCCCGACGGCGAGAAGATTACCATGGGCGACCAGGATGATTTGGAAATGGCCATAATGGCGGCACGATCTGCCGCTAGGAGGGATAGGCAAGAAGTTGGAAAGCTTGACGTATGTTTTGCCTCTCTCCCCTCTTTGTTTTTTCTTTTCTCTGCAAACCAATACTAATTCTTGATAGATTTGGATCTTTGAAATCTAGAACCACAATATACCCGGAGACTACAACAGAAAAGTCTTGACGACGACGACTTGAACGTTTTTTTCTTTATACTCCCAGCACCTCTTCTTTTTTTTCCCCTTTCCTTTTGCTTTATTTAACGCCTCTTGCATTATGGCATTAAACACAGCCTTTGCTTCCTCATATCACGTGTTTTATTCCTCTTTATATCATGTTCTTCACATTATATTTCATACCTTTTGTCTGACTCAAATTATTCACCAACTTGCAAGTTCAAGATTGGGTGGTAAATGAAGCGTTGTGTTTCCCCCCCTTTTTTTTCTATATCTTTTCTTCTTTGTTTGGGGGAGGAGGAGTTTAACCTTGGGGCAAGTGTAGTACCTTGGGCAAGTTGTCAGTAAGGTAGATTAAGTGGAGAAGACTGCAAAGTCTTGAGGAATATCAAAATGGTCTGGATAACCTGCAGCGATGATTGAGATTTTCATGTCGACAGATGGTGTTTCGTATGTGTGCCTGAGATCATGCTGTGTGTATATGAAGCTTAATGATACAATTCTATGACAGAGAGTTGTTGTACAAGAATTACAACACTGTAAGCAAGCGTCGAATACTACTACTACGCCGCACCGGTTAGACGATCCCTCACAACGCCAAGACGATACAACCACTCGTCCCTCCCGAGAACGGCAAAAAGATCCCCGGCAGAGTGGGAAAGCGCGGCGGGCCGACCGGTGGCGACGAACCTCTGCAGGGCGTAGACATCCATCTCGGACACGACGGGCGCCTCTCTGGCCAGCCACTCCACCATGGACCTGGCCACGACAGCAGCCGCATCCTGTCCTGCGCGGTCGGCTCCCCCATCCACCTCCTCCACCTCCCACAGGCTGGCATCTTGGCAGACGCGCGATATGGCGCGCAGGACGGCGGGCAGCTTGCCGTCCCTGGTCTGGGGGTCCATCATCCCCAGGGAGAGGGCGTATATTGACTCCGGCACGCGCCAGAAGTAGTGCGGGTGGGTGACGACTAGGCGGCGCACGTCGCCGCGCTTCTTGTACCGGTTGCTCCGGACGAGACGGCCGAGCATGTTCTCCAGGTACGCAATCGATAGGGCGGGTACGGGGGTCTTGGTGTGCCGACCCCATTCCTCGGAGGAGTGGTCCGTGAATGGGTTCTGGGTGTTGTTGTTGTTGTTGTTGTCGTCGTCGTCGGTGAATGTGGATGTGAATGTGGATGTGGGGGGTGCGGTGAGGCTGTGAACTTCAGATAGGATGGGTTCCAGGAGGGAGGAGGAGATGAGACGTCGTTCGACGGGAGCAAGGTCCTCGCGTGGAGAGAGGATGGTGGACCGGTGGTATCTCACGTCGAAAAGATCGAGCTTCTCCGGGTTGAGCTTTATACCGCCTCGGGTGAATTTGAATGAGAGCTAAGGGCGTTGTTAGTAGGAGGAAGACAAAAAAAAAAGAAGGAACCTACAGCATCGGCGACATCCTTAATTGTTCGAGGGGGGGAGTCGTGACCGGGCATGAATGATGAGCCTAGGTTGGCCAGCCAGGCCTGCATGGCCATGGGAGAGTATCGCTCTACCTGGTAGCGAGAGACGTTGGCGCTCTCGTTGCGCTTGCTGAGCTTGCTGCCATCCTGGTTGACGAGGAGGCCCAGGTGAGCGAAAGTCGGGGGGTTCCAGCCAAAGGCTCTGTACAGGGCTAGATGCTTTGGTGTGGAGATGAGCCATTCCTGTTTTCCCCCCCCTTTCTTGTCAGCGGTTTCGGAGAGGAGTGGAAGGGAGGGGGGGGGGAGAAGAGGTTGATAAGAAAGAGGAGAGGGAATAAAAGAAGAAGAAGAAAAACTGACCTCTCCCCTTACAACATGGGTAATCTCCATGAGATGATCGTCAACGACGTTGGCAAGATGGTAAGTGGGGAACCCATCCGTCTTGAGGATGATGAAATCCTCCTCAACCTCCTTCTTCTGGAAGGGGCCGTATATGGCGTCCTTGTGACCGAGGAGGCCAAAAGCGTCGCCCCTGAAGCGTACGACGTGGGATTCACCGGCGGCGGCGCGCGAGGTCGACTCGTCGGCCTGGATGGATCGGCACGTTCCCGGGTAGAAGGTGGGCTTGCCGGCGTTGTGCAGTTCGAGCTTCTGCTTCTCCAGGTCCTCTGGCTTGCAAAAGCATCTGTATGCGTGACCCTCGTCGACGAGGTGGTCTACGTGATGTTTGTAAATTTCTAGTCTTTCGGACTTTTTTTTTTTTTTTTTTTATAAATTAATTTTTTTTTTGTCAGCCAAGAGATATCCTCAACATCAGAGCTGCATCAGCAGAGATACTCACCTGTCTGTATGGCCCGTGAGGACCACCGCAGTCTGGCCCTTCACTCCATTCGAGTCCCAGCCACTTCAGATCACTTATGATCCTGTCCTCGGCATCATGTACGAGACGGCTCTGTAAGTCTTGTGTGTGAGAGAGAGGATTGAAACCATGGTAACAAAGAGGAAGAAAAAAGAGAGAAAAAAAACGGGAATAAGCTGGAAACTTCTCAAGCGTTTTCATACCTGATCTGTGTCCTCTATGCGCAGGATGAATGACCCCCCCTTCGACGCAACGGACGCGAGATTGTTGAAGAGCGCCGTGCGTAGGGACCCCAGGTGAAGATATCCCGTGGGAGAAGGGGCGAACCGCGTCCGGATGGGCTTGTCGGGTGTCTGGCCCAGAATGCGTCGGACGCCGCCTGCCGAGAACCCTCCCTTGGATCGTGCCGTACCACGTCCCGAGGTTGAGGAGCGTAATCTGTCTCTCAGGGATGATGATGTGACTTTTGCTGGAGTGTGCTCATCTCTGCCGCTGATCGTCGTCGTGTTGCTGCTGCTGCTGCTGCTGTTGAGCGTCGAGGGAGATAGACTGAACAGTCGTCGCTGGGGGAAGAGCCATGCCCTACCATGACACTGGGGACACCTCAGGGCCCTTGATATTTGAATTCCCCTTGATAATGAAGTCATCTCTTGTAATTTTTATCTTTTATGAGAAAAAAAAAACAATTCTCTTTTCCGATGGAAGGAAAAGAGAAGGTCCTCCCTTACTGGTGAATCACGAGAAATTTGAAGGCTCAGGGTCATGAATGTCCATGTAGTCTGACGACGAGTCTGGATAAAAGCCACATGTGGCTGTGCGTGGTGGTGCAAGCAGTGAGCTTATCTTATCAGGGGAGTCGGGGGGGGGGGGGGGGGGGGGGGGGGGGGGGGGGGGGGGGGGGGGGGGAGGAAACCGTTGAGGGTATCTACTTCAAGGTGTTCTTGAAGACGATAATATCTAGGACGGATGTCCACAATGGAATAGAGTAGACGGAATATACATAGAGGTGGACAACCTTCTCTAATGAATCAGAGAAAATGATACTCCTTCAACAGTCAACGACGTATCTTGCATTTCCCCCCGGTTTGGTCCGAGATGGAACCATCAGCGTTTCCTACCTTGGTCAGCATGCATTAGCAGCGGCAGCCAGCCAGCAATCAATGGCAGTCCTGCCCGTAGAAGAGAGAAAGAGAGGTACGAGTACGAGCATCACAGCAGCAGCAATCCAGTACCTGTAGGCTTGTCGTAGCTCCCTCTGAACCCCGCTAAGCGCTAACCAGATCCCAACCGGCACTAAAACCAGTTCCCCAAAATCTTTTTTTCCTTTTCCCATCTGCAACGACGAGCCGGGAAGTGTGCACACCAAAAAAAAAAAAAACCACACACAGACACAATAACGCCCGACTAGATCATGAACGGATCCGATGCGAATGTAGAGGTTGATCTCTATGGTATGTATCTCTGCGTCCCTCATCATGGACTGTGCTTCACTGCTTCTTCACCTTCCTCTCTTCCCCCGAGACACAAAACTTTCTTGTTTCTGACGTACGCGCGCCCCATCATTCAGAGATTCTCTCTATCGATAAGGGTGCATCGGGAGAAGAAGTCAAGAAGGCTTACCGCAAGGTATGTGATATGCACCACCGTCCCTCTTCGCGGTCCAGACTACTGCTGGACAGAGCTATGACATGTCTCGCCCTCCATTATTTGTCCAGTCATCCGACTAAATGGACAATGTCATGTTCATAGGCCGCTCTCAAGTTCCACCCCGACAAGGTCCCCGAGGAGCAGCGAGCCGAGTCCGAGATCCGGTTCAAGGAAGTCACCCAGGCCTATGAGATTCTCAGCGACGATGACAAGCGCCACCTATACGACACACACGGCATGTCTGCCTTTGACAAGTCCAAGGGTCCCGGTGGACCTGGCGGACCCGAGGTCGACCTAGACGACATCCTCTCCCAGATGTTCGGCTTCGGCATGGGCGGCGGTGGCGGCGGCGGCGGCGGCGGCATTCCGGGGATGGGCGGCATGGGCGGCATGGGCGGAGGACCGCGCAAGCCCCGCAAGGGCCGCAACGAGGAGCAGGAGTACAAGGTGACGCTGGAGGAGCTCTACAAGGGCAAGACCGTCAAGTTCGCGGCGGACAAGCAGGTGGTCTGCGGCAGCTGCAAGGGATCCGGCGGCAAGGAGAAGGCCAAGCCGTCGTCCTGCGACCGCTGCAAGGGCCAGGGTATGGTCGACGCCATTCGACAGGTGGGGCCCGGCCTGATGAGTCGCGAGACGGTGCTGTGCGACCACTGCGCCGGCGCCGGCTTCACCTTCAAGGAGAAGGACCGCTGCAGGCGCTGCAAGGGCAAGCGCACCGTCCAGGAGAAGAAGGTGCTCGAGCTGTACATCCCCCGCGGCTCCCTGCAGGGTGAGCGCATCGTCCTCGAGGGCGAGGCCGACCAGTCGCCCGATCAGATCCCCGGCGACATCGTCTTCACCATCGCCGAGGAGCCCCACGGCACCTTCACCCGCCTCGGCCAAGACCTCTCCGCCGAGCTCAAGATCACGCTGGCCGAGGCCCTCGGCGGCTTCTCCCGCACCGTCCTCAGGCACCTCGACGGCAGGGGCATCGCCATCGAGCGGCCCCGCGGCAAGATCCTCCGCCCTGGGGACTGCCTCAAGATCCCCGGAGAGGGTATGCCCCTCCCCAGGGGCGAGCAGAGGGGTGACCTCTACCTCCTCGTCAACATCGAGTTCCCCCAGGACGGCTGGCTCAAGGACGACGCCGCCTACGACTCTCTGACCAAGATGCTCCCGCCGCCTAACGAGTCCATCGAGGCTGACGAGGTCGACGAGGTAGATTATGAGGACGATGCTGATATTGAAAAGGTGTGTTTCCTTTCCTCGTTTCTCTTCTTTGGGGGGTTTTTTTTTTGGCCCCACCATCACCACCCTGATGGATTACTATGAAACTCCCCTCCCCAAAGATTATTGTATGTGTATACTGACAAAACAGATGGGCGAGAACTCTGGTGACCCCCGTTTCGGCAACGAGTGGGAAGAGGAAGACGACATAGAAGAAGGCCAGGCTCAGTGCCAGACTCAGTAAATTCGGCATATACACATATGTGGTTTTTTTTTTTTGAGAGCAGAAACGCCAAAAAAAAAAAGAAGAAAGAGAAGGGGTAAAGAATGGTTCCCAAAGACTGGGTGGATAATGATGTGATGACGGCTTTTTATGTTTTTGGCCTTTTTTTTTTCTTTCCTTCTTTTTTGTCTTCTGTTTTTCTTTATATATCTTGATAGACGACCCACGGTCGAATCCCACACCACTCCTACACTCCATACACCGCTCCATATATCACCACACGGTTCTCCACTCTGCTCTCGACTGTTCCATCATTCCAGCGGATCTTCCAAAAGAATCAAAAGAACGACTTCGAAAGCTGTCTTGTGCTATGGCATATGGTAGGCGTCGTGTGGTTATGATCGCACATAGACTATGTATAGATAGTATATAGATATAAATAGGCCCCACCCCCCGCACATGTCATCACCATCCACATCTTTCTTACCTCTCGACTCTCCACTATTACACAGCACACGATACACACACAACGCAAAAGTCACAGGTTCACACACAATCGTAAAAACAAACCCAAAACCAAGACCGAGACCAAGACCAAAGGAAAGAAAGAGAGGGAAAAAAAAGCAGACAACATGTCCCGCAAAGGCGTCGGCATCGGAGCCTTTGACCGCTCCCGCCTAACCTCAGCCCACTTCGCCTCTCACGGGTCCACGCTGCGGGCGTCCAACACGGAAGCTCTGTCGACGCAGCTCAGCGTCTTCCGCTCCCTCCTCCAGCAGTTTGCCCAGACGCACGCCAAGGACATACGGTCCGACCCGGCCTTCCGCGCCCAATTCTCCCGGATGTGCACGGCCATAGGTGTCGACCCCTTAGCCTCGTCATCGTCGTCGTCGTCGTCGTCGGCCGCGGCGGGGCTCTGGGCCCAGCTCCTGGGCGGGACGGTCAACGACTTCTACTTCGAGCTGGCCGTCCGCGTGGTGGAGGTGTGCTCCCGCACCCGGGCCGAGAACGGCGGGCTCATCGGCCTCCGGGAGCTGACGGAGCGCGTGTCGGCCGGCAGGATGGAAGGCAGCGCCGCCATATCGGGCGACGACGTCCGCAGGGCCGTCGAGACCCTGGCGCCGCTCGGGGGCAGCTACGCCGTCGTCCGCGTCGGCAGGAAGGATTACGTCCGCAGCGTGCCGAGGGAGCTCGGCACGGACCAGGCCGCCGTGCTCGAGGCCGCCCACGTCCTCGGCTACGTCAGCGTCGGCTTGCTCGTCGACAATCTGGCCTGGGAGTCGGCAAGGTGCAGGACCGTCATCGACGACCTCGTCTCCCAGGGCGTGCTGTGGGTCGATAAGCAGACCGGCGGGGAGTGGCAGTACTGGTCGCCTAGCTTCATGGTCGATACAGATACAGATATTACCACTACTACCGCTGTTGGGGAGTGAAAGAGAGGGGAAGGAGGAAATGCATATATATTTATATGTATATATATATATGTGTGTATATTTATATGCGCAAAGACATGACATGAATGAGATAATACCCACATTATACACCCACTCATCAACCATACATTTCCCAGATCTTTTCATTGCAGGCCATACACCCACCCAGTACAACCGACATACATCACTGTGGTAGCTTGGATATCAACTCCCAGCTCAACAGTATCAACACGGTACAGACGTCAAGACATGTCACCGAGCATATCTCTAACTACGCCCTAAATCCAGGTCGAGGGATAAAACAGATATTCAAGCCAAGACGAAAGAAAGAGAAAAAGAAACAAGACGGAAAAGAGCCATGATAAGAGAAACGGAAAGAAAAGATAAAATAAAAGAAATCATTTATACAAGGATCCTCCCAGCATATTCTCATACGAACCTACCCTTCGACGCCATTTCGTATTGCCCAATCTCGCCATCCCACCACTTTCCAGAGATCTTTTCTGTCAAGATTCTCTCTATTAGACTTGGAAGCAGTGAGACAACAAGAATGAAGACAGACGCCTTCTCGTTTCCCTTCCATGACCGTCGTAAAACACACCAGCCCCTTACCTGCATCCACAGCCTTATACGCAGATGCCATATCTACCTGTTCGTCAAGCTTCCACACACACACACACACGCACACACACACGCATATATCCCTACCTCAGCTAGCTCCTAACTTCCTCTTTTGTCCTCGACTTAGTAAGGAGGCTGAGGGCCAGGAGGGGGGTAGTCCTCGGGACGGCCCAGGTTGGGACGGCTGTCACCGCCAAAGTGCTTCTTGCGCAGAGCGGCGAGACGCTTCTTCTTGGTGGCCGTGTTGATGTAGGTGCCAATAACAAAGGACACGAGGTTGAAGAAGGGAACCCAGAGCTGGTCGGGCAGGAACTGCTGGGCAAAGGCCAGGCAGATGGGAGACGTGACCCACGAGACGCGCATCACCTTCCAGAAGCCGACCCTGACGGTGGCACGGACCTGGTGGTATGTGCGGGCGCCAGCAATCAAGGCCATGGCTACGAGGTAGATGGAGTTTTGGATGGGAGCAATCTGATTTACCGAGCTGGTGGTTAGCATCGAATCTCCAAGAGCACGGTGACGTGGACCCACAGCACCGCAGTAAACGATATGTGCGTGTACATGGTGTGCGGTGGCGTGTGGATCCACGGCGGTGAAGACCGAAATATACGGGAGGGTGGAGGGGAGGGAATGAGAAAACGCACAATGAGGTTGCTGGCGAGGATTTGGAGCACCTTGGCCTTGAGGCTGGTGCGTCCACGGAAAGCAAACTGCAGCATCCAGATGAGGACGTGACCGACGGGGGCGCTGACGAGGGCTCCGTAGGCGGCCATCTTCGGGACACGCGAGGTGAAGTAGTTGCCGTGCTTGTTGCGGTCCTTGGCGAGGAACGAGGCCAGCACCTCCTGGAGACCAGCCAGCGTGCCCGACGTGAGCATCTTTGTGCGCAGCGGGTTATCCTCCAGCTGCTTGATGTAGGCGGCCAGGTATCCGGGGGTGCCAGCATTCTTACGTCCGCCGGTCAGAGCGGTACCGATGGCCTCGGCGACGGGGTGGTCGCCGCTGGTGCCGGGAATGCGGCTAATTTCGCCGGCGATGGCATCCTTGGTGGCCCCGAAGGCGTTCTCCGCCTGCTTCTCGAACTTGACTTGTGACGACATGGTCGCTTCTGTTTTTTTTTTCCTTCGCTTTTCTCTCGTCTTTAAGCGCGGCTAATTCGTGCGGGAGGCGCGGGGGGTTGCGGCGACGGCGGCGGCAGCTGGAATGTAATGATGTCGACGTTAGCAAGCGCAAAGGGGTTTGAAAAAAAAGAAATCAGCCTTGCCTCGGGCCGTAACGTCAAAACACGCGAGAAATGCAAGTAAAAAACTTTGGAGATGGATCGGTGCGTGGTGGGCCAATGGCTTTGTTTATGCTGCCTCGGTAGCCCAACAATTGCGTGTGTCCACGTCCAAGCCCAATCAACGATGGAGATGTCGAGCGCGTTGGAAAAGGCAGACAAAAGGCAAAAGAGGCAGAATACGTACGTAGCAAGAACTTGGGAGATGGGGAATAATCACTCACGCGAAAGAGGGAAAAAACGAAAGACGTCCACACACTTCCAAGAGGGTTGGGCAAATAAAGTGGTGCCGGGGGGGTGTGTGAGAGAACGAGGATGATGGTGAGGAAAGTTGGACTTTCTGGGGGAGGGAGGAGCCAGAAGGGCGCTGGGGCCAGAGAGATAGGCCTTTGATGGCGTCGACGCGGGCAGGTGCGTTGCATTGGTGGCGCCTTCCCATAATACAGAGCTACAAAGGTCTATTAACCGAAATAAACGACCCGAAAAGGAAGAGAGGGGGGGGAGGGGGACCTAACTGGGGCTCGTACGAACAGCTACAGTGGATTTACAGGGGGGGGCCCGGGAGACAGACCAAACCTGTTACAGTCGCGTACAGAGTGGAGGCAGCTGCTGGAAATTCATGCCTCAGATTTCGGGTTGTTATTGGTCAGTTTTCACGTCTTGTTATGGTCCCCCTTGTCGCCTTGTTCTCCCTAGCAACAGCCCGTTGTATAGCACACCAGCCACATTTCCACACTTCCAGCCACATACTCTCTCTCTGGCTCTAGCCTTTACGGGAAGTGTTCTTTCTACGGAAATGGCCCTCTCTTTACGGCCGGCTCCCGGCGATGGGGCCAGTCGTACTGTTGTACATATGCGAGCTATCAATAGCCCTGTACCATCAGGATGAACGGAGATGCCCGATGTGAGTGCATACGCTGGGAGGAGGAGGAGGGGGGAGGGGGGGGGGGGGGGGGGGGGGGGGGGGGGGGGGGGACAAATGGTACACACAGAACAACATAAAAGAAGAAGGAAGAAGAATAAGAGAGGGGAAGGAGAAGAATTTTCTTGCAGTCACACATTATGCGCATCAACCCTTGGGCTCTCCTGCCCAGCATTGCTACCTCATACCCTTGGTTGGACACGGTTGCGCCAACGACATCGAGGAAATGCACCAGACTGTGACTCAGTGCGACCGGGTACTAATAACACTGGTGCAGTTGAGTGCTGGCAGCATGTAGAAAGGCTACATGCATTGTGAGTGCGTCGGCAGATCGGAGTATTTGGTTCCCTGATGGTTCACTTCAGGCCACATACATAATCGAGGCTACTGTCGATAATTGACCGAAGCTTCTACCATTCCCAACCTGGCAGGGTTCTAACCTACTAATGCCGATTCAGCGCCACGGTGCAGTACAGCCTATAGGCTATTATTATAGGTAGCTACGTAATCATACTATGACCTATAGTAGGCTGCTTGTGGTAATGGTGTTACTGAAAGGTAATCCGGCTGGTACTGCTGTGGTGCCATCCGCTACAGTTGTAGAACCAAGGTCTCTCTCTATATGTAAGCCTGTATAACTTCATCTGAACCAGCTGCCAGCCAGCTGTAGGCAGGCGGTTGTCAGCCCGGGCACGATACCCTAATTTTTCGCACCTGCCACTGTGCGTACACACAGACTGTTGTTTGCTGGAAGCCGATGGTTCAATATGGAGTAGCCACGCCACAGCCTGTGTGCCTTCAAAGTGTTTGCGAAGAAGACAAGAGAACTTTGATAGTGATATTGGTTCTTGCCCTCTCCCACGCCCGTATTCACTTCTGCGCATCATCCCGTATACAGTCCTTGTTTCGAAGGGGCTTTCTTTTTAGACACCTTCCAATGTATGCCTATCGATCAAAGAGCATCTCTTGATACTTGAGTATCACCAAACGCTCAAACCCGAGAACCCTTTTCAACATTGCTTCTGGACCATGGCATCTACAGATGCTGCCTTCCCAGGTCCGCAGCAACGAATCCATACCAACTGCACTCACATAACCATGTCCCGCTTCTATGGTGCCAACGTTCTCTGCAGCTTCTGCGGCCGTCCTGGGCCTTTTGGGTGGATCTACCTTTGCACCCAGGACCGTGAGGACGTCCTTGAACATGCCGTAGCCGATGTCTCTCCGGTGAGATAGGGCTACTTGTAGAAACCAGGCGCAGTCCAGATTTTGCTGACCGAGAGTACAGTCAATTCTTAATGCGACGAGCCGGATCCTGGCACCCAAAATTGGCCTGAGAAGCCGCAGCCCTGCCGCTCGTGCGGACCAGTTGAGCTTCTTCACCGAGAACACTGCTCAACAGTTGACCGGATACAGCCCAGACCAGATCGAGCTTATTTTGAAACAGCGAGAGGAAGTGAGTAAACCTCTCTTTTGGCGGTTCCATGGGAAACACTGTATGCTGACAATGCTATGTAGGTGCAGTCAACCATTGAAGAGAAGAAGCTTAGGACTCTCACAACTTCTTCTCCCGATGATGAGACCGACCCTGCCCGCCCACCTTGGGTCCCCAAGCTTAGTAAAGAGTGTACTTATACCGCCTGTCCGAGGTGCCGGCCCGGGTACGCAGCCAGGTCATTTCTAAGTATTGACGCGGTGGCCAACGGGGAGGTGCTGCCTACTTCGGCCTTGGGTTTTGGCTTCCATCCGATTGGGGAGAGACCTGTTGTGGATGCCGAGATACTCAAGACGATAGGGATCCGAGTCCCAGACCCGGTATCCATAGCCAAAGGCCAGGATGGTCAACATTGAAGACTAACATGTTGGCAGTCACCGTCCAACACACCGATTCAACACACTTTTCTATGTGCTGAGGAATTCAGCACCGGGGAGCCTGAGGACCCCTCCAAGATGCAGCCTGTTATTCGAGGAGATGACGGAGAAGGAGAGGAAGGTGAAATACACTCCTGCAAGGAGTCGACGGGAGGCGACGTGTCGAATACTAGTCGCTCACCGCCACCGCCACCCATCGTTAGCAGAAACCTCAAGCATGCTTCCACTTGCAGTAGCATTGCAGGCTCGCCCTAGTCCGACAGGACCAGCAGTGCACTTCACCTAGGCAAAACACTCGGGGACAGGCCTCTGACCTCAGAGTCGGGTTTTGCAAAGGACACGGTAATCATGAAGCCTGACTGCGAAAATGCAGACGATCCGCAACCGAACGGCGAGAGGCCGGATCAGAGTTCAGACGACAGCGCCCTCCTCTCACTCCTCCAAATGAAGGGTTCTGCTCGCAGACGTTGGAACGGGGCAAGAGATCTGGGTATCGGCACAGACAGTTCTCGCCTGAACTTGTGGCTGTGACACATGGAATTGCCGTCCTGTAAGAGAGTGTAGAGCTCAGGGTGCCCGACATTGTCACCGAGGACGGATGCTCCATGACCGAGACGTGCGAAAGAGAGGGAATGGTCTCGGCCAGGTTATCAGAGTAAGTCAGTAGACATGGCCTCGGGACATTTTTCTTTCCCAAAGTATACTTTCCCCAAGGAATTGTTTCATAGAAGGACTCGATCGATGCAACGGCATACATTTCCATAGTATCATTAGATGAACATGACTATTCGTAGCGTTTTTTTTCTTCCCTTTTTATTTCAAAAATACCGAGATCATCATGAGAACCTTGACACCAGAGATATTTGTATAGAGATATCTCACTCCTTCATCCCTTCGAGGACCTTCTTCATCATCTGATTCCCGACAATCTTGGCTTCCTCGAAGCGGGGCTGGAAGAACTCCTGTGTGCTGACGAAGAGCTTCTCGTACGTCTCAAAGTGGCCGATGGCAATACACTCCGCCCAGGCCCTGGCGGCAAAGGTGAACTCGAGATCGTCACTGCGGTAGGTGAGGTCGGACACGGCGGTGCGCAGGGTCTGTTCGAGCATGTCCGTGTCGGTGAAGAGGTGCTCGGTGACGCCGAGGCGGAGGCGGAAGAGGGGCGTGCTGCAGATCATGTGGTCGTAGGGGACGATGTCGAGGGCAGCCCAGCAGTCGACCATGGCGAGCAGGCTGAGGTGGTTGTTCGGCCTGGGGCGGTGGTCGGCGGCGCCCTCCTCGGGGGCGGGGTTGCCGAGCGAGAAGGACGACAGGACCTCGGGCTTGAGGAGGGGCCTGGCGTCCCACCGGGACGAGGACGGGTGGCCAAAGACCTTGTCGCGAGCGGCGCGGACCCGGTCGCGCAGGCCGTCCAGGTCGCCCTCGAGCATGAGCTTGTACAGGTCCGTCACGCTGCGGGCGTACTGGGCGATCTGCTTCCTGGCCTCGGGGTTGAGGATGGCCAGGCCGGCGTAGACGTGCCACTTCTGGCTGTAGATGCGCAGCATGGTGTTGATCTTGACGTTCTCGATGGCGCCCACGTAGCGCGACAGCTCCCACGGGAACTGGGTGTTTGCGTGCCACGCCTTCCCCATGGATAGGAAGGCCGCGTGCGTCACGGCCTGCGTGTCGGCCGTGATGCGGTCGTGCTCCCGGGCGGAGAGGTGCACGAACCGGGACCGGAGGCAGGACAGCACGGCCTCGACCTGGCGTAGCGCCCAGTCAGGCGCACGGTGCTGGATGATGACCAGCGGCTGATTGGCCGGCGGGACCCCCGGGCCGTGAAGGGAGTGGCACGATATGATGTGCACGTCGGCCGGGAGGTGGGCTTCGAAGGCGGCGATCTCAGGAGACTTGCACGATGTTTGCCCGCCGACGATGGCACCGAGTTTGGTCGCTGTTTCATTTTTTTTTCTCTCTCGTCAGACCAAGGACTGGGGGAACGAGTGACAGGCAGAGACGTGAAAGAAGTATTCATAATATTCAAGTGTCTTTTTTTTTTCAAAAAAAAAAGGATGGAAAAGAAGAGAAGAGAAACGACGACCGAGAGGAAGAGGCGTACATGGTCCATATTGGGATATCACTCGGTCTATAACGGCGGCTTCGACGCTGTAGATGATGTAGTCGCTGGCGCGGGAGACATAGTGGCCGTTTCGGCAAATTTCTATTCTGGTCTATAACGAGGGCAAGAAAAAGAGAGAGAGAGCAAGAATATGGATATATTTCAGCATGGGTTTCTTTCTCGGCCAAAATAACAATTGTTTTTTTCAAGGCTGGGCTAAGGATGAAAATGTGCCATACGTTGCTGGCGTATTCCTCTCTCAGGCTCTCGTACTTGTCGTCCCGATCGCAGGCCATTATCCTGCCATGGGCGATGTTCGTGGTCAACAACGGGGCCTGAGGGGGAAACTACGCGGATCGTGGAAACGTGTCCGAAGAAGCGGGGGTACGATATGTATGATTTCGTTTCCTGTTGTTTCCATCTTGGTTAGCTTGACAAAAGCTTTTCTCCTCAAATGGTAAGGTCATGATGCAAGACAGGAAAAAAAGAAACCCCTCGTCTCTTCCAGATTCAGACAATAGTTTTGAAAAGGTAGCTAGCAGTTACATCAGTGAGGATCCAGAGCCAGTCCCGACGACCGGAACGGCCGCCAGGCGACCCTGGAACCTACTCGAGCCAAATGCGCTCTAGTCATCATGTTGGAAGAGGGGAAGTGTTGTTTGGTTGAGGGGTTGGACCAGAAAGAAGGAGAGAGAGGAACTTACCAGCTTGTGGATGTGTAGCTCGGAGGCGCAAACATTACACAATAGAAGGGAGAAAGAGCACATACGCTGACTTACCTCCAGCCTGCGGCAGATAGCCTCTCGGCATACATCTTGCCCATATCGCCCATGCCGATCAGGCCAACGACAAAGCTCTCCATGCCGGAAGGAATGGAGAATGCTGTACCGGATGAGTCCATTGTGTATTGCTGCTGCTCAGAGAGAGGCAGACAAGTTCACATGCTTCTGTCGATGTGAGAAACGTTCCTCTAGAGAAAAGCCTCCGGTCGTGGCAGTCGACGCGCGAAGAAGAGAATTCTCGGTGAGGCTGTGAAGAAGAAGAGGAGGAATTTTTCTTCCCTAGAACCAGCAGTGGGAGACTTTATCTGGAAAAAAAAATTTGAAAAAAGTTTCTCCAACAAAATTTCTATTCTCCGCTTATATGCATAAGCGTATACGTGCATATATTCGGTTTAGGAGTTCCCCCCACCGACTAATAGTGACATGACAATTATACTTGTATGACAAGAGGACAATACATGTACATGCAACACGCCAACACAAGCCAAAAGAAAGAAGAAGAAAAGAAAAGAAAAGCAGGCACATGTCGATGAACGCCCTCTATTCAATAGGATCCAACGGATCAGGCCAGCTGGGGATAGGCCACAAGGAGGACGTATCGGTGCCCAAACCGGTCATCTTCCACCCGCACCAGCAGCCCACATGCCCCGTCACCAGGGTATCCGCGGGCGGGAACCACACTCTTCTCCTCACGGCGTCGGGGGAGCTGTACTGGTCCGGGGACCCGTCAACCGGTGCGTGCGGGCTAGGCAAGTCCCTCAACCTGCCCGTGTTTCAAAAGGTCATACTCTCCGTGGGCGAGGACAGCAAGCGAGACAGGATCACCCTTGTCGCCGCAACATGGGAGGCGTCCGTCATCGTGACAGAATCACGGCAGGATCAAGACGGTGCTGAGCAGCAGCGGAAGCAGGCCGTCTACACCTTCGGCGTCGGCCTCAAGGGCGAGCTGGGCGCCGGGGAGCTCATCGTCCGCACCCCTTCGGCCACGCGACTGGCAGACTTCCCGCCCCAGGGTACGGAGGTCGTGGACCTGCACGCCTGCATGGGCCACGTCGTGGCCGTCCTGAGCAGCGGCGACGCCTACGCGTGGGGCAACTGCCGCAAGGGCCAGGCCGGTGCCCGACACTCCGGCGTCCTGCACGCACCGCAGAGGATAGAAGGCGTCGGCTTCCCCGTCCGCCGGGCCGTGTGCTGCAAGGACGCGACATGCCTGTTTGGCGAGCCCGACGGCGGCCAGCTGCTCGTCCTCGGCGGGTCGGACAAGTGGACGCTGCAGTCTGCGGCGCCGCGGTCGGTCCCCGCCTGGACTGACGTGGGCGCCAGCTGGGGGTCCATCTACGTCCTCACCCGCGAGGGCAGGCTGCTGGCTTGGGGTCGTGACGACCACGGCCAGCTGCCCCCGCCTGACCTCCCGCCTCTCAGGAGCATGGCGGTAGGGAGCGAGCACGTCGTCGCCCTGTCGCGCGACGGCGACGTCCTCTCATGGGGCTGGGGCGAGCACGGCAACTGCGGTCCCAATGTCCAGGACAATGATGTCAAGGGACGGTGGAATGTCATTGCTTCGTCCAAATTCATCCCCGACGGCTCCTCTATAGGTACGGTTGGTGCCGGGTGTGCTACCAGCTGGATATCAATTACATCTGATTGAACAGCTCTCCTTTTCTTCTTCTTCCTCTTTTTTCCTTTCTACCTCTCGTAGTTGTAGCCCCCGACGGTCCCTGCTGGGGTGGCTTTACACCTTCGCTCCGCTCGTGCGTGCCCCTCAGTCCGGGAACAGTGCAAGGTTCTGAACCTGCGAAAGCCTCTGCGTGGGTTCAAGGTACGTCGAATCGGCATTCATCACGGCGCTCGGCCCTTGCATATCCGGCTCGGTATCCGCCCGGCCCTCGACTCGGCTTACATGTAAACCAGAAGGGTTCTGTCCCACGTCATGATTAGACAAGAAGCAGCAGTAGAAGAAAGGCGGGAGGAAAGGTGTAGGAAAGAGCTGAAGAAGAAGGGTTGAACGTGAACGGCAGTATGATTCCTTACCGGATTGGCGCTGTGGTCCCACTCAAGCCTAGTGTTATCCTCGTCGTCATCATCGTCGCCGACGGGCTCCCAGCCCTCGTCGTCCACAAACAGACTCTCGGACTGGTTGGTAGCCGACGGCGGCTGAGGCTGCTGCCGCTGCGTCGGACGCAGATCAAACGCCCCCAGTCGCGACGCGCTAGCCCTGGCGGAGCTGCTCGTGTGCGGGGTGAGACTGGGCGCTGCCGGTCGCGATGAGGCAGCAGGCGGCGGCGGCATGCTATGCACCGCCTGAGAAGTAGGTTGGCGCTGTTCCGGTGCTATACGCTGCTGCTGCTGCTGCTGCTGCTGGCCCCCAGCTTCAGAAGGGGTCGCACTGGTCCTGCGGGATGTGGCCTCGAGTCGTGGCCCGGTACTCTGCTGATGCTGCTGCTGGTTGGCGGATCTGTGACCCTTCTTGGTCCTCTGGGACGGGTTGCTGCCCCGCTCGCCGACCGTCATGATCAGGAACTCGCAGGCTATGGCGTCGCTGGAGTAGGTGATCTGGATGGGGCGGGCGGGGAGGGAGTACCGGGCCGACAGGTCGTTGCCCGTGATGCCGGCGTGCTGGATGATGGCGCGGAAGTCCTTGACGGAGATGACGATGTGGAGCTTATCCTCTACGTCTATGTCGTCGAATTCGTCGGCCTCGACGGCGATGGAAGTCTGTAGAGGTTTTTTCAAGACGGCTATGATTGTCAGTTTTGTTTCTCTCTCTCTCTCTCTCTCTCCTTATTCTCGCCCTCTTCCGTCCTCTTCCTTTTTTTATTTTATTTTCATTGCCCCCCCCCCCCCCAAATAGGCATCAAATATCAAATCAAGGTAACTCACCATCTTCAGACACCGTCTTTTCGCTAAAGCATGTGAAATTCACATGATCCCCATCCGTATTGATATCGAGAAAATCAATGCCTGGACCGAAATGGTCCATGAGCTGCCTCAGGGTCCTAGAGGAGATGGTCCAGTGGTGCGGCGCATCCTGCTTGCTAAACTTGGCGTGCACGGGGACGGCCACCTCGAAGGGCATGCGGTGTGTCGAGGTCAGTCCGTTCCTGAAGACGATGCGGGAGATGAAGCGGCTGGACTGTCCCTCCTCTCCATCCTCGATGGCCACATCGCATCTATCAATGACAGTGTGCCTGTCCGCATCTCTCGAGGCGTCTGTGCTCGTGCGGCTGCGGAAGAGGGATATCAGGGCCTTTTTTTTTGGTCAGAGGTTGTCTTTTTTTTTTTAAAAAAAAAAAGAAAAAATTATAGTAGTAGTAAAAAAACAAGCGGTGTCATGGTCTGAGATTGTGTTGGGGATAGAGGGAGGGGGAGGAACATACTCGGATGAATAATGTGCAGTGGAATTTATCGTGGTACTGTCCTGTTCCCTGGTACTGGTATCGCGAAAAGAACTTGTTGGTCGAGAATCTAAAACTGGCATATGCAGACTTGGATGTGTTGAGTGTTGTCAAGACGAACTAGGCGCAAAAAAAACAAATTGTGAGCACGTAGTTCGTAGAAGGAAAAAAAAAAAAAAGTAAGAAACGGGGGGGGTTTGCAATGCCTCCTACACTTTCCTTCCTCGCCTCGAGGGAAACGTCGTCACTAAACTTGCCAAGGCAGGTGAGGGCATCTCGAAACGCATTGACGCCCTCTTCACTGAGGGTCAGGTTCAAGACGGCCATCACCCCCTCTCACCTATCCCCTTGGCAAATGTGCTTCTCTCAACAAGAGGTCTCTTGAATTCTTCTCCTCCTTCTTTCAATACCTCGAACACGACGTCCCTGATGCTGTTCCGAGATTCATCATGATGTGCCCGTGCATGGGATTGGGGGAAGACGCGTCCAAGCTTGCTTGTGGGCGCTTGTATCGATAGACAAGCGAGTGTTACGAAGTAGCAACTCGCTAACTTATCATCCCCGCTCTCGCTAAATGCATACCCTGCAGAGCCTACGAGGTAGTCGCATACTACATTGAACGTGAACATTTGAACGTGAACATTTGAACGTGAACATTTGAACGTGAACATTTGAACGTGAACATTTGAACGGTTGAATGAAGAACATACAGCCATCGATCTTGCTTTTTGCCTCGCATCATCACTCCCCTCTATTCCTCGTCTCCTTCTTCTCCTCTACATGTGTCTTCTGATGAGAAAAACATGACAGGTGTATTGAACACATTTGCTCTCTAGTACGACCCGCACCCTTCCTGCCCACCCTCATGTAGATACAGTAATACTGCTCACAGTCATACACGAAAGAAGAGGAGGAAAAAAAAAAAAACCAGGCAAACAAGAAAGAAAAGGAAAAGGAGAAGAAAAGCAGAAACATCCTCCCGGAACACCTGAACCTAATGGCTCTTGAAGCAGCTGTACTTCCCGATGGAAAACCTCCACGGACCGCGATGGACGCCGTGCTTATCAACGTGGACGCTCGTGCCAAAGTGGCGACCGCCGATGCGCTTGACCCAGGTGAGCATGTTGAAGGGTGTCTTGAGAGATGCTGGTAGGATTAGTACGATTGACGAGAGAAGACAGGAAGTACAGAAGGGTAGGAGCATGTGCAGAGCAGGCAAGACGTACCGTGTGGTAGAAAGGGGCCTGGGTCGACTCGAGAGTTGAGCTTTCTGAGAGTGTGGTGGAGAGATGTACGAGATCTGGCTGGACAAGAGAAGGAAAGGAGAGTGCAGACAGACCCTGGGAAGGAGAGTGTGATACGACTCCACTGTTTAAACAAGGGGAGGCAAGCTTCTTTTAATAGTACCAGCAAATCTGCCTTGCATCCTATCGATACGAGTACGAGTAAAAGAGAGGGAGAGGAGAGAAAGTACACGGTCCATTCCAGGGCAATGTTGAGCACGCAGACAAGCATGACTAATCCTCATCGCACTTGATCAACAGGGTCGTTGCCGGCTGTACAGATCTGTACGTGCCACGAAAGAAGAAAGAAAAAAGTGGCAGTGCTCGAGTTCAGCTCCGGCTCTCCACACAGCCAGCCACCAGCATAGCCCTGTCCACGTCGTCGCCCCGCCCCGCCAGCAGATGGCGTTGCTTGATTCATGCAAAAAAGTATCGATGGCCTCGTGATGATCAGTTCTTGAAAAGAAACTAACCCCCCCC